TCAATCTGAGGCTAAGGACTTGTCCTTTCCCATGAGGCCTTGGTTCAGAGCCCCAGGAATGGGCCCCAAATCACTCCCTTCTGGGACATTGGGGTCCTGTCCCAAGGAGCTGTGAACTTACCGTTGCCCCCTCAGTTCTCAGCATCAGGAAGGGAGATCGTGTGGGGGTGGGAACTGTCTGGAGGCTGGGTCAGAGAATTCGTGGGTTTATGGAAGTTATTGGGAGGCCCATGAGATGGGAGGCTGGTGTCCAGGCCACGCTTTCCCTGAGTGGCCTTGGACAAGCCCCCCACTCTCCGGGCACCTCTTCCCATCCAGGTTCTCATATGGGACCTGAGACCCTCCCGCCTCCCCCGCTGCTGCCCTGTTCTCAGGAGACGGGGTCCCCCAGCTGCTGTCCCTCACTGGGGGGCTGGGTCCAGGGGGCAGGAGCGGCTTTCCCCACCTCCTCCTGGAAAACTTTAGGGTATTTTTGCGCAAACTTCCCCGGGGGAGGGAGGACTGTGGTGAGAGTGGGACCCACCCCAGTGGTCCCAGCCCTCAGCTCAGCTGCCGTCGCTTGGCTCTTGCGGGCCAGGCTTCCTTTCCTACCCTCTCAGGGGAGAGGTCTCCACCTGTCAGAGGAGCCTTCAGGGCTGCGAAAGGGGGATCCCAGCCACACGGGGGCTCATGCGGCCTTTGTTTGGAGATGCCAGGGGCTTCCCACGGTCTCCCCCAGGCCGGGCCTGGGTGGCTGGGGGAGCCAGGAGCCGTCCCAGCTGGGGCTAGCTCCTCGCTCAGGCACTTTATGAAGCGGGTGCTGGCGGGGGCGCATCTGCTCCCTGCTCTTCCAGATCCTGGAGGGGAAGGACTTCCAGGAAGAGGCTGCGGAGTGGGGGGTGCCTGGAGGCCAGCTCCGGCCATTGCACACGGGGTGAGGGGGGCGTGCCAACCCCAGACCTGGTTTTGTAATGATTTGTAAAGGAATAAACACCTAAGCTCCAGCCCTGTGTCCTGTGTCTCCGGGGTAGAGCTCAGCTCTCTGTCCCAGTGGCGTGTGAGCGGTGTCCTGAAGACTTGGCCCCCAGCCTCTGGGCCGGAGCTCTTAGAGGAGGGGACCGCAGCTTTCCAGCTGACTGGTGAGTCTTGGGTCCAGATCTGACGGCTCTGGGGACAGGTGTGGAACTAAGCCCACCTGCTTTCCTGGGCCCCACCTTGCCCTGAATGACTCTGGACAAGTCACATCACCTCTGACACTCTAGGGCCTCAGGTTCTGAGGAAGGGAGGGACAGTCAGGGAGGCAGAGGACCCAGGAAGGAGCTCAGAGCCAGAGGGAGCTGCAGGCCAGTGGGGCCAGAGGTCAGCTCCTGGGTTTGGGGCCTGGAGGGCAGAGAAATTCCCTGCCTGCCCCACAGGAGGGAGCAGGAGGGAGTTCAGCGGCCGCAGCCTGGCGGGGTGTGGTGAGCTGAGGGCTTGAGTTTCCCGCAGCCTCAGCATAAGGGCTCTTCCAGGTCGGCTGGGAGAAGGGGTCCCTGACTCCAGAGATTACAACCTGTTTAGACACCTAAGATGCCCTTGGGAGTGCGGCCTAACAAAGGGTGACTGTGAGACAAGGGCATGCAGCCTGCTGAGACCTGCCAGGGGCTGCTGGGGTCAGGGAAGAGAGCTCTCCCCCGGGAGCCGGGCACTGGGCCAGCCAGGATGGTGAGCCACCCCGGGCTGGGAGGCGAGAGGCCCGTCTGCCTCTCATTTCACACGCTCCATAGGTGGCCGAGCCACTATTAGTGGGGATTGAAGAGGGAGGGACAGTGGGTAGGAGTAATGCCCTGAACTCAAATCGGGTGGTGGGACCCACAACCTTGCTCTGTCGCAAGGAGGTGGCAGCAGTGGGCAAGGCCATGAGAGATGGGGCCAGATGGCAGAAGGCCAGGAATAGTAGCCTGAGGGTGGCCGAGCTTTAACCCTTGTCTGAGAAGCCCAGTGGGACCGCAGGAGGCGGGGAGGTGACGGGCCCCAGGGTCTGACCAGGCCCAGCGATGACTGTGGCAGGGTCCTGCAGGCCAGGGACTCCTCGCAGTGACATGACATGGGGCGTTGAGACCTATCATTGCACATTTCCAACTCTGTGCAAAGACTTCTGGGAAAGAGGTTTCTGAGTGACATTTCTCCAGAAGGCCGCGGCTCTCCTGCCTGCTCACTGGTAGGCATAAAGAGGAGGTACACAGGTGTCAAGAGGGGGTCATTTGCTGGCTGTGGACCTGGGAAGGTTCAGTTGAGCATCAGGAGGTGGGACTTTGGTGGAGGACGCTGAGGGCAGGAGGCCAGGCACAGTCCAGCCCAGCTCTCAACCCCTCAGGGTGGTTCTCATCGCCAAGGTCAGCTGTGGAAGCCCCTCGTGGCCCAGTCCTCTGCGCCTGAAATCGTCACTGGTCAGGACCAAACCGCCTCCTCCCTTGTCATTCGCAGCCTCCTGAGCCCACCTCTGCCCCCACCCCTCCCGGTGGTCCCTGAGGGGCCCCCTGCTTCCTCATCTCTTGGAGCGGGCACCACCCCACCCTTCCTCTGAGGTGGGGTCTCACTGTGACCCCCACCAGCTGCAAACCCAGAGGGCACTGTTCTTTCTGGGTTTCTGTGCAGCTGTTTCCTGGGGAAGGCCACCAGTGGGGCCCGCAGGCAGGATCCAGCTGTGAACCTCAGAGCCAGGTGGCCCCAGCGTCACTTCCCCTGCCCAGGGCTTGTTTTTTTTTAATCAAAGTACTTGGAATTCTTTCCTTAAAGTATTTTTAAAATGGTTTCAAAAACTGATTTCCTTTTTATTTGATTATATTTTTGTTTTTTTTATTTGTCTTGCTTAGTTACACATGACAGACAGTACAATGATCTTGACATATCATACATTTGAGGTATTTTTTTTAATAAAATAATTTAAACTGAACACATGATATAAGGTAGAAAGTAGGGTATTGTCACTTGTGTTTCCTGTTAAAGTCCCAGTTAAACCAGGCGTAGGGGGCTGGGGATGTGGCTCAAGCGGTAGCGCGCTCGCCTGGCATGCGTGCGGCCCGGGTTTGATCCTCAGCACCACATACAAACAAAGATGTTGTGTCTGCCGATAACTAAAAAATAAATATTAAAATTCTCTCTCTCTCTCTTAAAAAAATTTTAAAAAAAAGACTGATTCAAAACAGTCTGGATTTTTCTAAAAAAAAAAAAAAAAAACAGGTGTAGGCATGGGGCTGGCCTGTAGTCCCAGTGACTCAGGAGGCTGAGGCAGGAGGATGGCAAATTTGAGGCCAGCTAGGGCATCTTAGCAAGAGCCTGCCTCCCTCAAAATAAAAATTAGAGAAGGGCTGGGGCTTAGCTCAGTGGTAGAGCACTTCATGCAGGAAGCCCTGGATTCCCTCCCCAGCGCTATATAAAAAAGAAAGGAAAAAGTCTTGAGTCTAATCTTCCAGATTTTTCCTCTATGCATTTTTTTTTCTTTCCCCTTTCTTCCCTCCCTGTTTTTCTTTTTTTAGGTTGTATCTGGGAAATTAAATTTTGAAACTTTAATATCCCAACAGTAGTGGAAAATCTCCAGGTCATATACACATAATTAAAGCAAATACTTCATTTTTTTTTCTAATTTAAAAAGTGTATTTATTTTATTTTAAAATGTTGTAGAACTGGTGCGGGTGGTGCACACCTGTCATCCCTGCAGCTCAGGAGGCTGAGGCAGGAGGATTGAAAGTTTGAGGCCAGCCTCAGCCACTAAGCAAGACCCTGTCTCAAAATAATCCTTTCCTGTTCCCCAAAACCCCTGAAAACTCCCATTCTTCTTTCTGAACCCATGAGTTTGACTACTTTGGGAACTTCATGGAAGTGGAATCATCTTTTTGTGATAGACTGATTTTATTTAGCCTGCTATCCTTCAAGGTTCATCCATGTTAAAGTTGCCTGGCACATAAAGGAATTGTGTTTGTTGTAGAGAATATGAAAAAAAAACTTGAGGGAGCCTTTGTTCGGGGTGGGTACTGGGGATTGAACTCAGGGGCACACGACCACTGAGCCACATCCCCAGCCCTATTTTGTATTTTTATTTAGAGACCGGGTCTCACTGAGTTGATTAGCCCCCTGCCATTGCTGAGGTGGCTTTGAACTTGAGATCCTCCTGCCTCAGCCTCCCAAGCTGCTGGGATCACAGGTGTGGGCCACCACATGGGGCTTGGGGGAGCCTTTTAATAAGCAGTGAAAGTCTCACCTTCAACCAGGGGTCACAGGCCCACTCACCCTCACCGCTCTACTTAACCAGCTCTCAGAAGCTCTTGCTTTGGTAGGGAGACAACACTATTTTAATTTTGCAAAGGTTTAAAAAAAAAAAAAATCTGGGAACGGATTTTACACGTAGCTGAATGTTTAGAGCAGTTTGGATGCAGCAGGGATGAGAGGGCAGATGCGGGTTTAGTCTGTTTCTAAGGCTTGGCGTGTCCAGGGCCTTCCACCCCACGAGCCGCCAAGAACCATCTGGCTGCCTTTCTCTTGCCGACCCTACCAGAGTCACCACCTCCCCACCCGCCCTGGCTCTGCCACCGTCCCAGCCAGTCCCGGCTGGCACTAGAAAACTTTCCTGTGTGAATTTTGGGCCCACGTTGGTTGGATTCCTTGAAATGGATTTCTAAAAGCGGAAGAGCACTGTGGAAGTTTTGATTTGCATAATCAACTTGCATTGCCAAAGGCTGTGCCAATGCGAGTGGCCGTCCGGGCTTCCAGAGCACCCCCCCAAATCCTCCTATACAGACTGACTGCCAGCATCTGCCCTCCCACAGATGAGGAAACTAAGGCTTCAAAAGTGAGGACTTGCTGGCCATCACAGGTGGCAGAGCTGGGACTAGACCCAGGCTGTGGTGGTTGCTAAGGTGCCACCACCTAAGGTGTTCTCATCCTCCTGTTTACTCACTCTCTTTTTTTTTTTTTTTTTTTTTTAGCTGTAAATGGTCACATGCTTTCATTTTATTTATGTTTTATGTGGTGCTGAGGATCGAACCCAGGGCCTCGCACGTGCTAGGCGAGTGCTCTACCACTGAGCCGCAACCCCAGCCCTACACTCTGTCTTACTCAAACACCTTCCGTGGCTCCCTAGTACCTACAGGACAAATCGCAACTTCAGTCCACCCTGCCATTTAAGGCTGCTGCTTTCAAGGTCTCTGTGGTTGAATGTGTGAGTTTTGAGTTGGTAGCCTTGGGCTCCAGTCCCTTCCTCCACTACTGAGCACCTACACTAGGTGCCAGTCAGTCACCCTTCGAGCCTCTGGGTAAACACATGGCTTTCTAACAGGAACTTCAGGCAGACTCTTGAACAAGCCAGCCTCACATTGGTCCCCTGAGTTTAAGGATTCCAGACGGTGGGGTCTGCTGCTCTGCCCGGGTCTTTTATCAGTATTGTCAGAACCCCATCTGTCCCAGTGTCCCCCACCCAGCTCACTCTGGCGGAGCTCCCGGCACCCCTGTTGGTGCAGGCTGATTTATAATTTACCCTACCACTAGGTCTTTGGGGTCCCCGGGGGAAGTTTCAATCTCAGAGGAACTTGCAGGTCCCGTCCCAACAGGGGAGCCGTCCCCAGGTTCTGGGCAGGGTCTGAGCAAGGGCTGGATCCCAGCGCCCCGCATGCTCCCTGCCTGGCCTGGCCCTTCTGCCGCCAGTGCTGTGTGGGGTACTGTACAGAGCGCCTCATTCCTTGGGTCTCAGTTTTCCCAGGGGGACAGTTTCCTCCCCTGTCCCCCTGCAGTAATTGGGATACAGCGGAGGTGACAGGAATGGGAAACCCTTGGCACTCTGTCCAGTGCTGGGCAGGGCGCGCAGGGGCAGCCCCTGGGCGCCAGCCTTGCCCAGGCTTCCCATCAGGGCTCCACTCGGTCCAGTCCCCCTCCTTCCCCTCCCTCCCTCCGTCTCTCCCTCCCTGCCATCGCCGAGCCCTGGCTCCCGGCATGCTGCGCGCTGACAGCCTTATAAATAGTCGCCTTTGCCGCGGCCAGCAGGACCGGCAGGGCAGGCACCCGACGCCCACTGCACCCTCCCGGCCGCAGGTCAGTGCAGGACCTTCCCTGGGATGGGGGAGGGGCGCCTCCGCGGGCGGGGACCCGCCTGGGGAGGGTGTGTGGCGGGCCACCCTGGGGCTCTGTGTGTATCCATGGTCACGATCTGTGTGCCCTGCTTATCCTTGTTCCCCAGGCTCTGGGTCTTGTGTCACACTGTGTGTGCCTTTGTGTATGTGGGGCAGGGGCAGCCTGTCCCAGCCCCCCAGACCCCTTTGTGTGGCGTTCCTTGTCCCTGCCCTTGGCATGCTCCAGCTGGGGCCTAGGGGTGCTGTGGCTGGCCCCCCTGTCCCGGAGGACCTGCAGGGGCCTGTGTGCTAGGAAGAGCTCTGCGTGTCACTTCAAGTGCTGGGAGGACCAGGAAGCCCCGGGATGCTCGGCTCTGCCCCAGCCTCTTGCTCAGTGGGGGCTGGAGGGATCCCCGCATCCATGGGGGTCTCGCTGCAGCCCTTTTCATCCTTGCACCCCCCCCCAGGCCTCTGAAGCAGCCAGACAGACCAGAGAGGGGACACTGGCTGTCCAAGGTCACTCGGCTGGTGATGGAGTTGGGATTTGAACCCTAGCTTCCTGCCAATCACTGAGAAGCTGGGAGACCCAGGCCTTCCCCAGTCTCACCTGTGATTGGGTTTAAGTCACTGTCCCTCTGGGCCTTGGCCTCTCAGGCCACCTAGCAGACCAGTCTTCCTAGGGGTGCTGGGACCCTGAGCTGGGGGCCTTATAAGGCCTGGGTGCTTAGCCCGTAACCCAACTCCACCCTGGACCCCTGGCCTCCAAGAGGTCTCCTACCACCCAAGTTATTTTGGACCAAGGAAGAGGCAGATGCCCAAAGGACAGAGGGGCTTAGGTTACCAGGAGGGGGTGGGGTGGTGCGGGCTGTCTCAGGTCTTCCCTGTGGCTGTCCCTGCCCTGGGGACACTCCCCCTCCCCTGGGCAGCTCCTACCCCTCCTTAAGCACACTCAGCAGGACAAGCCACTATAACTCATGTCCTGGAGCAGGGTGACTGTCAGCAAACCGCTGAAGTTCCCATTGCTGGGTCTAGGTGCCAGGCCCCAAACAGCAGACAATGCAGTCCTGGCCAGGCAAGGTGGCACATGCCTGTGAACCCAGGGACTAGGGAGGCAGAGGCAGGAGGATCGTAAGTTCAAGGCCAGCCTCTCCAACTGCCTCAAAATAAAAAGTAAAAAGGTCTAAGGCTGTAGCTCAGTGATAATGCATCCCTGGGACCAATCCCCAGTACAAAAAGAAAAAGGAAAAAGGAAAGAGAAGGAGAGAAAAAGAAAAAAAGGACTGGTTGCTCTGCAGAAAGTCCAGAGAGGGCGCCTACTGTGTGGGGGTGCAAGTGCAGTCCAGGAAGGCTTCCTGGAGGAGGTGACACCTGGCTGAGGTCTAGACCATTGCATTGCCGGGGAAGGCCTCCTAGCACTGGGCAGAACACGCACGAGGGCCTAGAGGGGGACATGGCCACGGTGGTGATGAGGGAGCAGCCGGCAGCTCCAGTGTTTGGCAGAGCTGCAGAGGGTGACAAGGGCCAGATCTCTGGGTCCCTGCCAGCTGTGTTGAGGGGCCCAGGCTTTATTGAAGGTTCTCAGCAGGAGTGCTCACGCAGAGAGAGGCCTCTGGCGATCCGCCCAGAGCTGGGTGGGGGCTCTGGGGCTGACTGCTCAGGCAGGGGTCAAGAGTGAGGGCCAGTGGGGGCGGCAGAGGTCAGTGGGGGGGAGGGAAGAATGGTTGCTAAGAAGGCCGCTGGGGACCCTGGGGCGGTGGGTGGCTGGCGGAGGGGGGCTTGCAGGTTCTGAGATGGGGAGGTGGGGAGGCCGGAGGGAGGGCAGGCAGGACCGGTGAGGCAGAGCCCCCCAGGGGGGAGGGCAGCGCTTGGGGTTCTGCATAGGGGCCGGAGCGGGGGAGGGGGACCACCTCTCTGTGAAAACTGGAAAGGGCTGTGTCCCCCCAGCTCCTGCAGCTTCCCCCACCTGTAGCTCCTGTGTCCTGGAGTGGGCCCTCCGTGCAGACTGTCCCTTCCAGAGCTGCCCTGAGCTCCAGACTGCTGTCTGCCTCCGGGCCTGGGGATGGGGCCTGGGGATGTCCTCAAGGTGCTGGGCAGGCGCTGGCCCTGCCTTCGTTCACGGGAGCAGCTCTGCAGCCGCCCCACCCCTCGGCACAGCCGCCACCCTTGTCCTCCAGAGCACCCAGGGGGACAGGAGGGGCCTACTGCCCTCCTGGGATAGGTGAGGCAGTGGAAGCCAGGGAGGAGAGTGACTTTCTCCACGTCACCGCCTCCTGGGCCTTCCCTTGCCCCAGCCCCTCTGCTTTCCAGTGGTGCGTGTTGGGGCCTGGCAGCGGCAGGGTGTGGCTGGGGGAGCTGAGTCAGGTGGGAGGACACCCCTCACCCCCACCCGTGCCTTGTCTTGCAGAGCGCTGACCCGGCTCCTGGGACGTCGGCAGGATGGAAGGTATGCAGCTCCCCCAGCTCTGCCCCTGCCTGGGCCTCAGTGTGCCCATCTGTTCAGGGGGTCTGCTCATGGACACATTCTGGGGGGCAGTGGGAGGCAGCTCTGGGGCTGCCAGAGGCGGCCTGTCTGGGACCCTCCAGCGTCCTCCTCTGGCCTCTCCCAGAACGTGACAGCTCCAAGATTAATTTTAGAAGCCACAAGCCCTCCTTGAGGCTTCGGGGCCCAGAGCTCCCCTCCTACGCTGGTATTTATAGAGCTGAGTCCCTGCCTCTTTCTGGAGAGGCTGGTGCCGGGGAAGGGGCCCGCCCTGTGGAGAGGTGTGCCCCATGCCAGGCCTCGCCAGGGCCAGGCAGTTCCTGTCCCTCTCTGGGACTCCGTTTCCCTGTCATCAGAGGAGTGGGCCGTGAGGAGGTTCTGGGCCCTCCTGGCTCCTGCGCGTTGGGACCTCGAGGGAGACGCGGACGGGCAGACGGCCCAAGTGGCTGCCCTGGCTCTGGCAGCACCATCCGTACAGTCCCTGGCACTGGGCCTTGGCCTGGGCGGCCCTTAAAGGAGCTGGGCAAGCCCGGTGATCCCCTCCTCCCCTGGCTCCAAATGCCAGCCGCCACTGGGCTGCGGCCTCCTCCAGGCCGGTGCCCTTCACCAAAGTCCTCCTTCTGTCAGCTCCCCCAGGGCCCAGCTCGCTCGTGGTGGGGAAGGCCCTGGAGACTGCCAGGGACAGAGGGCCAGCTCGGGCGGGCACTTCTTTCCTGAGGTCACACCCACCACAGAGCGGGACCTGCTGATCCTCTGTGTCCCCGAGGAGCCAGGGAGTCCAGGAGAGAGCCCCAGCCGGCCGCTGCCCGCCAGGCCTCTGTTCCCAGGCTCAGCGGGCGGCCACTGTGCTGAGGCCTTGGAACTCGAGCTCCCCTCCCCGGCTGGGCAGCAGCTCCTCGGCCACCGCAGCCCTCCTCCCTGGCAACTGTCTCCATGGCAACATATGTTGTGGTTGCCAACCGCACTTCAGTGCTGCCAGGGCAGGCGGGCCCTGGGCTGGGCCAGGCCTAGGAGGGAAGGGATAGGGGACACCGTGGAAGGGGATCATGGGCTGCTGCACATCTGGGAACCCCAGGAGCAAGGAAAACGAGAAGGCCACAGATGACAGCTCCTGTAGTGCAGCCCCCCACGGGGAGGCACCCTGGGAGGTGGCCAGGCTGAGAGGTCTCTGCAGGCCCCCTGCCTGGTCCCTCTGCCCTGACCCCTCCCAGGCCTGGCTTTCACTCCCACCACCCCGGCTCCTTCTAAAGTCTCCTCTTTGGGGTTGCAAAGGTGCTTTTGGCTACTGCAGGGACTGAGCTCTGCTCCTCCGTCTCTCCACAGAGAAGCTGAAGAAAACCAAGATCATCTTCGTGGTGGGTGAGTTGCAGGCAGGCAGGCGACAGGGCAGCCAGGCGACAGGGCAGCCAGGGAGGGTCAGGGCGGGCTCTGGAGGGTCCTGGACCTGTGAATGCACTCTGGGCCTCTCCCTTGCTGGGGGACTCCGAGAGCCCCTGTCCCTCCCAGGGCCCCATTTCTCAGGGGTTCTGAATAGATGAGTGCTTGCAGGGGGACCTGGCTCAGGGAAGGGCACCCAGTGTGAGAAGATTGTGCAGAAATATGGCTACACCCACCTCTCCACGGGGGATCTCCTGCGGGCTGAAGTCAGCTCGGGCTCCGCCAGGGGCAAGATGCTGTCGGAAATCATGGAGAAGGGGCAGCTGGTGCCACTGGTGAGTGGGCTCTCGGGGTCGGGCTGGGGAGGATGGTGGCCCTGCATGCATGGCAGCCAGAGAAGCCTGTGACACAGACCAGGTTGGCCTCGACCCTGCCTGGCCCTGAGTCCCCATTGCCCTCTGCAGACAGTTCCTCCCGGAAGCTCTAAGACCCTGCAGGACCTGCCCTGCCTGCCCTCTCCATCCCCAGGCTACCTTGGCATTTCTGTCCCCTCCAGGAGCCACGCTCCTTCCTGCCTGGGACATTCTTTCTCTCTCAACTTTCTGACCTCTGGCTCTCCAGATCTGAGCCAGGACCCCTGGTTCCAGGCTGCCTGAGCTGCCCCTCCTCTGCCCACAGCCTTACACAGGGGGCCACAAGCCAACTGTGTCGTCCTCAGTGCCCAGACCAGGGGCTTCCGAGGGCAGGGAAGGTCTGATTTGTCCGGGGCCCAGGGCAGGACCTGGCTGGGAGGGGCTTGGGGGAGCCAGGACAGGCCAAGTCCTCCCCGTCAGGAAGGCTTGCTGGGCCCTGCTGGAGGGAGGGAGGGCCAGGGAGAGGATGGGGAGGCAGGCTCAGCCCACTTCCTCCCACGCTGTGCCCTCAGGAGACCGTGTTGGACATGCTCCGAGACGCCATGCTGGCCAAAGTCGATTCTTCCAAAGGCTTCCTGATCGACGGCTACCCCAGGGAGGTACAGCAGGGAGAAGAGTTTGAGCGGCGGGTAAGGCTCACAGTTGGCCTCGGGAGCCGTGGTACGTGGGTGGGAGGGGGCTGCTGGGGTGAGGTGAGGCTGAGGCCAGGAAGGCTTTCTGGAAATCTCAGAGGAAAGGTGTAGAAGAAGGGGAGGTGCCAGGCTGGGAGTTCACGGACCTGAGCTCAGCTCCCAGCTCAGCTGCTGGAGACCTTGGGCCAGTCATTTCACCTCTCTGAACCTCAGTTTCCCCATCTGCAAAGTGGGGGGACTAGTTACAGCTGCCTTGGGGGGAAGCATGAGGATTAGTATGGTTGCAGTGTGGGGCTTGGCACCCCGTAAACACAGTCCGAGGGGCAGGGAACCTCACTGCAGAGCTAGACAGGCAAGTCCGTGCGGGAGGACAGGACCCTGGGGCGGGGCGAGCATGGCTGACGCAGGAGAGGACCATCGCACTCGGCTAGAGCCTCACATGCCAGGAAGGGGCATCGGTCCCCTTTCAGGGGCCACGGGGAACCCTACTGGAAAGGGAGGCCTTGATCGCGACAGCTCTGAGCTTCCCAGCAGAGGCCCTATCCGTGGGGGACACTCACACAAGCACCCACGTGAACACAGGCACGTGTGCCATGCACACAGGAGCAGCACACCATCATGCACACGTGTACACAGACACACACGTGCACGAGGCCACAGGTGTGCACATGTAGCCTCACACATAAGACAAGGCCCATGGTGCACACAGGTGTGTGGCGGAGTGCACATGTAAGCAGAGGGACACACACGTGAGCACACGTGGGTCCATATGTGTGCGCTCTAGTTAGACTTGTTCAGGGCCACACGGAAGCAGATGGGGCCGCAAGTACCTAGGAGGGGAGATAGCAAGAGTAAGGGGAACTGGGGGTCCCAGTGGCTGGGGCAGGACCAGACCCCCAGCCCACTCCCCATCTCCATGGGCCTCATCTAGGGCAGGAGACTATATTTTTTGACTGCTAAGTGTCTGCAAGACCTCAAGAAAATGTCTGCCCCGGCTGGGCACAGCGGCACATGCCTGAGTCCAAGCAACTAAGAAGGCTGAGGGAGGAGGATGGCAAGTTGGAGGCTAGCCTCAGCAATTTAGCAAGACCCTGGCAATTAGCAAGACCCTCTTGCTAATAAAATAAAAAGGTCAGGGGATGAGCTGGCTGTGTGGTGCATGCCTGTAATCCCAGCAGTTCAGGAGACTGAGGCAGGAGGATCAGCAACTTAGTGAGGCCCTAAGCAACTTAGCGAGACCCTGTCTCAAAAAAAAGAAAAAAAAAAAAAAGTCTGGGGATGTGGCTCAGTGATTAAGTGCCCCTGGGTTCAATCCCTGTACCAAAAAGGAAGAAAGAAACAAAATGCCTGTGCCCCTGGCCTCAGTTTCCCTATCTGTGAAATTGGGGTTGGTTGGGCTTCCTTTGGGGTGGGATGGTCAGATGCCAGGCAACCCTGAGGGACATCCTGTCTTGGCCACATACATCATCTGTATGAGGTCACCTGTGACACTCAGGGCCACATGTGGAGAATGGGGTTAATGACACCAGGCATAGTGGCTCACACTTCTAATCTCAGGGAGGCTGGGGCAGGAGGACTGCAGTTCCAAGCTAGCCTCAGCGATTTAGTGATATCCAGTCTCAAATTATAAAAGGGCTGGGGATGTAGCTCAGTGGCAAAGTGCCCTGGATGCAACCCCAGTATCAAAGGAAAAGGAAAGGAGAGAAAATGGGTTAATCAAAGTCCCTATCCCTGCTGTGGACACTCCCGAGAGTGACAGGTCCTGTGGTGGCCTCCAGGAATCTGGGCAGCTGATATTCTCAGCTCTGGACACCAGGGGGCGCCAGGCTCCGCAGAGGGAGGAAGGGTAGGCCCTGAGGCTTGCTTAAGAGGCCCCAGAGCCCAGGGCTTTCCTGGGGTTGGGCAGTGGCCCAGCACCCACTCCCCTAACTGAACGTCACTGTCCTGGAGGGGAGACAGGCCTCTCAGCGGGACACCCTGCCCAGGGGCTTCACTGCCCTCGGGGATGCGCTGCCTCTGTCCAGGTCATATAAAGACTGCCGTGTGGCCCTGTGGGCTCCAGAAGCCAGAGACAGAGCCTGGGCCCCGAGGAGCTCAGCAGTGATGGATGGCGGGCGGGCGTGGCCTGGGCTGGGCTCAGCTTTGAGCCATTCGTGGTCTTCTGCAAGGTAGAAGCTGTGGGTTGTCCCAGGCCAGGGTGCAGGGGGCAAAGGCAGCTGAGCTGATGCTGCCAACCCTGAACCACCAGGAGACAGAGGGGTGTGACCGCCAGGAAAGTGAGGCTCAGAGAGGGCAAGCGGCCCCCCAGGGCACACAGCTGGGCGGAGGGGAGTCTGGGGGACGTCCAGTCAGTCTGATACTGAAGGTCAGGCTTTGACTTGTCAAGGCAGTGTCACTTGTGATGGGGGGCAGAGAGACTAGAAGGGGGGACGTCCTGACCCAGCCCAGAGGTTTCATAACCACGGGGCTCTGCCCCTCTTGGATACCCCAGCAGACCACTGTAGGTCTGCTGGGTGGCCCGCTGGGAGACCTGTCCCCTTCCTCCCTCAGGGCATCCCAGGCTGCTCCGCCAGGCCTGGGGACGTCTTGGTGACTGGGAGGCAGGATCACTTACTCTGAGGAATCATGGTCAGGGAGGGAGGGGCCGCCATTTCTTTTCTTTTTTTCTTTCTTTTTTTGGGGGGTGGGTACCAGGGATTGAACTCAGGGCACTCGACCCAGAGCCACACCCCACACACCTCAGGGTCTCACTGAGTTGCTTTGGGTCTTGCTAAATTGCTGAGGCTGGCTTTGAACTCGCTGTCCTCCGGCCTCAGCCTCCAGAGCTGCTGCGTGCACCACTGCGCCCAGCGAGAGGCTGCCACTTCTGACTTCAGTGTGGAGGCCACCTGGGCAGGGGACCTGTGGAGGGGCACTGGGGCCAGTTGAGGCAGAACTGCAAGGCCTTACTCCTTCCTGCCCCCCCAGGTCATCCCCTTGGTGACAACTTATCCCGGTGCCAGTGGTGTGCTCAGAAGCCGGGGACCCAGCTGCCCTCCCCCTCCTTATCCCTTGCTCCCCTATGGAGCCCTTATCCAGCCAGAGGGTGGGAGACAGATGCCTCCCTGCTCCTGGGGACTCCAGCCTCATGGGGAGAGGGGCACTGGATAAATGACCAGAGGACAGAATAAGAGGGCCATGTCCCGGGGACTGGGGCACTGGGTGCACTAGAGGGGTGATTAGTGAGGACTGTGCAGACAGGGCAGGGAGGGCAGGGAGGGCAGGGCATGGCCCCACAGGCCCTCTGGGTTTGGTAAGAAGAGGACTTTGGGCTTTGTCCTGAGGGCACTGGGGAGCCATGGAAGAGGTTTGAGTAAGGGAGTGGCGGGGAAGCTTGGTTTCAGGAAGGTCCCCCAGGCTGCTTTGGGGACTGAAGGTTTAGTGGGTGAGGCCTCAAAGGTGGGGCAGTGAGGAGGGGGAGCTGACCCCAGGTGGCAGGAGCAGGGTCCCTGTGACATGGTGCCCCGCTTGCAGATCGGACAGCCCACACTGCTGCTGTATGTGGACGCAGGCCCTGAGACCATGACCCAGAGGCTCCTGAAGCGCGGGGAGACCAGCGGGCGTGTGGACGACAACAAGGAGACCATCAAGAAGCGGCTGGAGACCTACTACAAGGCCACCGAGCCTGTCATCGCCTTCTATGAGAAGCGAGGCATCGTCCGCAAGGTGGGGCAGGAATGGCCTGCGCCGTCGTCCCCGCCTCTCCACCAGGCCCGCTGGCCTCGTGGCCACGTGGCCGGCCTCTGCTGTCTCCCTCAAGGCCGTCTCCCCGCAGGTCAATGCTGAGGGCTCCGTGGACAGCGTCTTCTCCCAGATCTGCTCCCACCTGGACGCCCTGAAGTAGCCCCACGGCCTCCCCAGCCCGGAGCCTCCCGCTGACTGGAGGCCGCGGTTCAGCCTGGGCCTCGCCCTGCTCGGCTGCCAGACGCGGGGACCCTGGATCCCGTCCGGGGACAGCTGAGCACTAAAGGAACTTCCCAGGCGTCTGGGTTTTATTCCTCTTTCTTTGCTTCCAGTTGGAGTTGCTTCGTCGCCCGCCCAGCCTCGAGCCTCCGGCCCCTCGCCCTCCCCCTCCTGCTGAGCCTCTGGCTCCCCTTTTGCCCCCGTCCTCCTCCAGCCCTGGCGGGAGGCCCAGGGCTCTGCCCCAGGCGGGGTGTGCCCAGCCCAGGCTGCACCAGGCAGCGGAGAGGCTGGGGACCTTGCTCTCGGGGTCTCGGTTCTGGCCTGACCTCCTCTGTGTCCTGGCTGTGTGTCCTCAGCCCTGCCCCTGCATCTCTCTGAGTGTTTTCTGTGTAGGCCTCGGCCGGGGCCGGGGCCGGGCTGCAGCAAGCTGAGAGGCTGCGGACGGTGGGACCGGACCATGCACAGGCCTCCTTGGTCCTGAAGCTCCGAGGGCCAGGGAGGTAGCGGGGGTCAGGTCCCCTGCCCAGCACCAGCCCGCTCTGCTTGAGCCATTTCTGAATGTAAAGGAGTTTGTGCCTCCCCCTGCCCCGCAAAGTCAGTGAGGGGGTGACAGTGACCAGCCTCTGCAGCCGGAGCCACAGCAGCCTGACTTGAAGGGCGCAGGCCCAAGCCAGGCTGGGGACAGCCGGGTCCCCTGAGAACCAGCTTTCTTCCCCGCCCGCTCCTCCTTTGACCTCATCAGCAAGAAAGGCTCAATTTGGTGCTTACCTGTCTGCAACACCTGTCTCCGCCCCACGGGCTGCTCAGAAGCCCAGGGAACCAGATGGCCACCCTGGCCTGGAGGACACCCCTCGGGCTGATTGTGCTCAGTTGTGTCCCTGTATTTATGCAACTGGCCCCGCTTCTCCCTGACATTGGTTATTTAAACTTTCCTTTAAAATAAACATATTTAAGTTACAAAGGCTGAGTGTGTTGACAGGACATGGCGAGCAGGTGGTGGACGAGGAGCAGGGAGCCTCCTGATGGGGCAGGCTTCGGGGGAAGGCTGCCCTGGAACGGCCAGCCTAGGACACAGGGAGAAGCGGGGCCAGTTGCATAAATATAGGGACACAACTGAGCACAATCAGCCCGAGGGGTGTCCTCCAGGCCAGGGTGGCCATCCGGTTCCCTGGCCTGCTGCGTGCAGTCTGTCCCACTGAGGGCACACACTCCTCTTGGGAACCAGTGTCGTGTGAGGTCAGTGCAGGGAGGGGGAGACAGCCCCCGGTAGGAGCCCCCGGGTAGGTCCCCACATACCCCACCACCACCTTGTGTCTTCGCCCTGACTTCGTCAGAACAAGCGAGGCCTAGTTTATGAAGAGCTAACCTGACCCAAATTATCCACCAGACACCGCACGATCTCTTCATTCACTTATACCACCACAGGGGTCCTCGGTACCTGAGGGGGGTGGGCACCCGGGCCGCCTGGGTACCAAGGTCCACCGTGCTTAGGTCCCCTCCATAGAACGGGGTGGTGCTCACACAGAACCAACGCCCATCCTCTGGTGGACTTCATTCTGTTTGTTTACTTTTTGGTACTGGAGATTGAACCCAGGTGCGCTTAACCACTGGGCCACATCCCCAGCCCTTTTTTAAATAAATTTTTTAGTTGTAGATACATTCAATACCTTTATTTTTATGTGGTGCTGAGGATCGAACCCAGTGCCTCACCCATGCAAGGCGAGCGCTCTGCCATTGAGCCACACCCCAGCCCCTTTTGTTTTTTATTTAGAGACAGGGTCTCCCTAAGTTGCTTAGGCCCTTGATAAGTTGCTGAGGCTGGCCTTGAACTTTTGATCCTCCTGCCTCAGCCTCCCCAGCCGCTGGGATGACAGGCGTGAGCCACCGTGCCTGGCCTCCCGTGTGGCCTCTAGATGACTCCTAACACCCAAGACAGCGCAGGGGGCCTCCTAAATGGCTGAACTGCTTGGTGTCCGGATGAAGGATGGAGGAAAAGAAATCTGTCCGTGTTTAGCAAGGATCTGATTTTTTTCCCAAATGCTTTCCATTCCCAGTTGGTTGAGTCCATGGACAAAGAACCTGTGCTGGCAGGGGGTGAATTATCCTCTAATTATCTGTCATCTGTCTATCAATCGTCTCCTAGGGGGCTGGGGATGAGGCTCAGGGGCTGGGGATGTGGCTCAAGCGGTAGCCCGTTCCCCTGGCATGCGTGCGGCCCGGGTTCGATCCTCAGCACCACATACAAACAAAGATGTTGTGTCCGCCGAATACTAAAAAATAAATATTAAAATTCTCTCTCTCTCTCTTAAAAAAAATGGAAAACTGATGAAAACAACCAAAACCATCCAATTTCTGAATATCTTCTACACAAAATACTATGATTCCATGTCTAAATTTAAAAGAAAAAAATCGTCTCATAGAATCCAGATTCCTCTTTGCTGAAAACTTCAGTCTACAGTTAAAACCCGCAGTCACCTCCCCCCCCCCACTGCCCCTCCCCCGCCCCAGAGCCTGGGGTGTGCCTATCCCTCAGCCGGCAAACATTCTGGAGCACCTGCCATGCTGGTCACAGAGGCTCATAAGCCCCCAGGCTGCTGCCATGCGGTTCCCAGAGCAGGGGAAACCCACGGGCACAGGATCCCCTGCTGCGACTCAACCAGACCAGAGGTCAGAGGGACCCAGCAGCAGGGGATCCCTTGAGCTGGAGCTCTGGGGCCTTGAAGGTAGCGGCAGTTCAATACAGGACAGAGGGCACAGAAAGACAGTGGGACAGTCCTGTAGAGCCTAGCAGTGGAGAAGTCCTGTTGGTGTGCGAGGGTTGAGGCTCAGGGGGCCGTGCGAGAGCAGGAGACAAACCAGGCGTGTTGTAGGGTGCAGACCTGCAAGGACTTGAATGCTGACTCGAGTGTCTGACTTTTCTCCTAAGGGCAATGGGAGTCTCAGAAAGAGGTGGTTTTAGCTGAACAAGTGGTGCACACCTGTAATCCCAGCTACGTGGGAGGCTGAGGCAGGAGGATCACAAGTTGGAGGCCAGCCTCAGAAAGTTAGGAGACACAGTCTCAAAAATAGATACATTAATTAATTAAATTAAAAGGACTGAGGGACATAGCTCTGTGGCAGAACACCCCTAAATAATAAGAAAATAAAGAGGGCTGGGGTGCGGCTCAGTGGTAGAGCATGCACCCAGCTTGCACAGGGCTCTGGCTTGATTCCAGCACCGCGCGCACACACACACACACACACACAAAAGTGATTTATGTTTTTGTTTGTTATTTTAACAAAGACATCAAACAAACTGAGAAAAAAAATGGAATGAATATCCACGAAACCATCACCGACGTTTGGCAAGTGGCACTTCTCCTCTCTTCCTTGTTCTGCTTTTGCCGAAGGGTTGTACAGTAAGTAGAAGCTGTGAAGAAACGTCCCCCCTGCAATGTGGCTTCAGGATGCCTCTCTGAAGACTAAGAGCCTTCCCTAAGTCACCATGGACGGCTGGGTCAGCACGGTCACTGTGTCACCCACGCTTAGTCCTGTGCAATTTTTTCCAGTTTCCCAAACGGTGTCTGTAGCTGGTTTGTTGAAACCAGGACCATTTAGTGACACTGGGCAAATCTCTCTCTCTCTCTCTCTCTCTCTCTCTGCTGCCAGTGGAATCTGGGGCCTTCCACATCCTAGAAAGATGCTCGACCACCAAGCCTCCTCTCCAGTCCTTTTTTAAATTTGATTCTGAGTCAGGGTCTTGCTGTTTGCCCAGGCTGACCTTGAACACGAGACCCTCCTGCCTCAGCCTTTCAAATGGCGTCCGTCTCCTTTAATCTGGGACAGCAGGGAAGGGACCAGTTGTCTTAGGACAAGTCCTCTTCCGGCTCGCCTCCTGCTCCCTCCTGGGGCCCTTTAACTTGCTCCTCATCCTTGTCCTCCCTGGGGACGGGCGGGAGTTGGAAAGGCCGCGCAGGTTCAGGTTAAGCCTAAGGGACAAGGAGGACCAGGGGTTCGGAGCAGGCGGGAGGCGGGTGGGCGGCTCATGCAGTCTCCCCGGGAGCTGTTTGGGCTGCGCTGGGGGCTGGACCCGGGGCTGCTGGACCACGGCCACATCCCCAGCCCCTTTTAGCTTTCACTTCAAGATGGGATCTCGCCGACTTGCTGAGACTGGCCTTGAACTTCAGCCTCAGGCGCAGGGGCTGACCGGGCAGGTCTGGGTGGGATGGTGGCGCCCAGCCACTGGTCCTCAGGCCACGGTGGCTGCTCTGCGGCGGCTCAGGAAGACAGTGTCAGCGAGGAAGGACCAGAGGGGCCAGGGAAGCAGGAGGAGGGTCCTTCCTGGGGTCGGCTGTGCATCCCCGCGGACTGAGGTGGGCGTGGCAGGTATGGGTCGAGAGGTCCCTAATGAAGTCACTCTTCTGGTTTCTAGGGACACTTCTGGCGGGGACATTCTAAGAAGCAGGAGGAATTGATGCCTCTATGATGGGGAGTCTCGGCGAGGGCGTGCTCCTGGGCAGGGCTTGCTGGGGTGGTGGCCTTAGATGCCCCCCGGACTGCACCTCCATGTCTTGGCCTCTGGGGTCCCAAGGGCCGTGGCCGGAGGCACTGAAGTGGGAGAGGAAGGAAGCTGGGAGCAGAGGAGGCCAAGGCTGTCGCCTCCCAGCCGCAAGAGGGGCCTCGAGTAAACAGGAAGGCCTGGCGGCTCCACGCTGGGGGGGCTCTGGAAGGGTGGGAGCCAGGAGCCCGACTGGACTTGCGCGGCCTGTGAGCACAGGCTTCCTCTCTGGGGAAGGGGGCCCAGAGAGGTTGAATGGCTTGCCCAGGTCACACAGCGGGCTAGACCCGCGCTGGCCTTGCTGGCTCTGGCTTCCTTCCTGGGGGCCAGGTGTCCTACCTGTGTTGCCCCGTGACTTACCCAGTGTCAGCCCCTCTCGAGCCTCAGTTTCCCTTTCCATGAACCCAGAGTCCTTACAACTCAGTGGTTCTGGAACCCTGGCCCAGTGGACCGTCTGCCCCCTAGATGGGGCCGTGTCATCAGGAGGGCCACCATTGCCCAGGGTCTGGAGGCACTAGGTCCTAGGCCTCTTCCCTGGGGAAGACTGCTTGGGGGGCTCTGCTCTTCCAGCACAGAGCAGCATACAGGGGGACCCCTGGGATCAGCCTGGGTTCTTGGAGAGACGCTCCCCTTCTTCAGAGACCCCGTGCCTGGGCCCAGAATGCCACCTGCCATGCCCCGGGAACTCAGGGTCATCACCTAGGAAACCTGGGCTGTCAGCCAGCATCATTTATTCCACAAGCGTCTACTGAACACCTGCCAAGGGCCAGGTACTTCTCCAAGTGATGGGGTCCTTCCTTTATGACCCTTCTGTTGTAGAAGAGGAGACACACAGAACGTCTGCATGTCAGCTGGTGATACGCCACCCAGAGTGGCTAGCAGGAGGAGAGGCCATCTTAAATGGTCTGGGAAGGCCTCTCTGACCTTGTGATGTTTGATCAGAGACTTAAAGGGTGAGGGAGCAAGCCCCACAGCTACAGAGTGTTCAGGGAGTAAAGCAGCACATGCCAAGGCCCTGAGGTGGGCAGATGCTTGGCATCTTCAGGGAACAGCCATGGGCCAGTGTGGCTGGAGTGGGGTGAGCCAGGGGGAGAAGAGCAGGTGAGTTTGAAGAGGGGCAGGGGAGCTCACTGGCCATTTGAGAACCCACTCTGGCTTTTACTCTGAGTGAGGTGCCAGTGGAGGGCAACAGGGCAGAGTGGGGTGGAGCCTGACTTGGCTGGAACAGGTTCCCTGGCAGAATGGAGAAATGTCGGGGCAAGGGAAGGGGCAGGCAGAGCTTGGTAAGGAGACAATGGCAATATTCCCAGAGGACAGTGGCCATGGGGGATAAGAAGCCGCCAGGGTCCGCAAACCTGGAGACCTGGGGACTTGAGGGAGCACCTGCCAGGGCGCGGGGGGCGGGGGCGAGGGAGTCAGAGTTGATTCCAGTGAACGGGGCCCAGCCCAGAGGAGGAGACCCAAGTGAGCACATCCCAGAGAGGGACGGAGCCCAGAGGTGGGCACGTGAGGTCGGAGGCGACCAGCCGGGACGACAGATGGGATGTGAGGCTGTTTACCTGGCTGAGGTCACCAGAAATAGCACGTCCCAAACGTCAGCAGGAACAGGAATCCCCCGGGGACCTTGAGAAAATGCAGGTCTGACGCAGGGCCTGAGGGTCTGCCCTGTACCGAGATCTGGAAGATGGCCTGCGACCAGGCTGCGGGCCACCCGCCTCCCCTGCGGAGCTTACAGCCAAGACCCGCTGGTGGGCGCAGGGAGGGCTCGAGTCCCAAAGGTCCAGACAGGTCACACGTCCTCCCGTTATCAGCCTGAGCCCGGGGTTATTTGTCTCGTGCTGGGACATGACGTCAGGGTCGTAAAGGTCTGAGAAAACCTGATTTGGGAGTGAGAGTCAACAGAGAAGGGAAGGGGCTCAGGAGCCATCTGGGGCCGGGTGAGGAAGAGCCGGTGAAGATAGAGATAAGGTGAGCAGGGAGGTGGGAGGGAAACCGGGACAGAATGTTCTAGAAGTCAAGGGAAGAAAAGCTGGGGTCTGCGTTATTTTCTCCCTCTCCCTCTCCTCAGCCCACGGCCTTGCACACCTGAGACTGTCCCTCCACTGTGAGGTGGGGACATGACGGTCCTGGCCCACTGGGGTGGCTGTGAAGTGGCACTTGGCACAGGGACAGCAGACACGTGGTGGAGTGGTTCCTGTTCTTGTTTGGCCGTCTGCACTCCTCCAGGCCAGGAGGCTGCCCTCCCATTGTGCAGAAGAAGAAACTGAGGCCCAGAAACTAGAAAGGTCTTGCCCGGGGCCCCGGCCCGTGCAGGGCAGCGCCGGGTATCCAGACCCCGTCCACCTCTCTCTTCCCTCTGCCCGTGTGGATCTGGCCCTGCTGTTGTCAACAGCCCCTGGCTCCAGGCCCGTGCTGGAGCCGGACAGCCGCCCGGGGGTCCCTGGGGGCCGCCTGGAATTCCTTCAGTGGCCAGGGGCCAGGGTAGACGTGCTGCATCCCTTCCTGCGGCCCAGGCCTCCCAGCCGGCCGGGAGGAGGAAGGAGCAGCATGTGAGCATCTGCCCACGGTGGGGCCCAGGCGCAGGCCTGGCCGGTGGCCATGTGTCCCCTGGCGTGTGGATGGGCGGCACCTGAAGACATCTGTACCAGAGCCCCAGCAGGAAACAGATGGCACGCTCCCGGGGGGTCTGGGGAGGGGGCTCTTCCCACAGGTGTGGGCAGGGTGTCGGGACCACAAGGGACTGTGTGGACCCCGGGCTGGCAGTGGCCTGGGGCGGGGCCACCGTCAGCCTGAAGGGCGAGGACAGGAGCTGATTACCCCTAGAGGGCCAGCCCAGGCCACCGGGGCCAGGGATCTGCTGGGACCCTGCAGGCAGGGCCTGAGGGTGGGGGCCCTTCCGCTCTTCTCTCCGACTGTCCGTCGGGGTGGGGTGGGTGGGAAGGTGGGTGTCCCCAGGATGGAGAGTGCCTGTGGGGACAAATGGAGGACGGTAGCCCGAGGTGGCCCTGGTCACAGGCCACCTGAGCACTAAGCTCTCTGGGGTAGAACAGCCGGCCCCGGTCAGGCCTCTCCTGCCAGGAGCAAGGCCGCGCTCCCTGCCTCAGTTTCCCCGACCCTCACCCCTGCCCCAGCTTCCAGGGACCTCACGCTTCCCACAAATATATCTCCTGGGCAGAAGGCCCTGGGCTCTGTGAGGGACGCAGCGGTGGAGAGGACACCAAAGTCCCTGCCCTCCTGGGACTTCAGTGGAAGGCAGACACCCATGGCAGGACCCCACCCAGGCTGGGGCGCTCAGGAGCTAGAGGTGACCTGCCCTCCTCAGCCAGCCCTCCAGCTCCTGGGGCTCCCGATCTCTTCCCCTGGTCAGGGCTCAGGCCCTTTGGGGCCTACTGGATTTCTCTCCTTGGTTTTCTGCCAGTTTCTTCTTGTGTCTACCTTGAATCTCTCCTGCTTTCTCTGCAGTCCTCTGGGTGCTGTGTAGAGTCTGGTGAGGTAGACTGTGCAGTGTGCAAAGAAGGGGGGAGGTTCGAGGGGTCCCTGGTACCGCCCGACACCCCACCTAGACAGCCATGTCCCCACCCTGTGATACCCCAGCCCCTGCATTCGCTCCAAACAGGCTCAGGCAGAGGTGGCGGGGAAGGCGGCCAGCCTGGCGCCCGGCGGCCCTGGGGTCTCCAGGTCCCAGCCAGGGTTCACTTAAATCTCAGGGATCCCCAAGTTCCCGTTCTGTGAAAGGAGGGCCTACTGCACCCGGCGGTGGCTGGGAGGACTCGGGGCTGATAAGGTGAACGCCTAGGGCGGGCCGGGCACCTAGGGCTCAGCCCCAGGGCTGGGTTAACTGTCCCCTGACCCCGCTGGGGCCTGGGGAACCTCTAGCCCCCGTCCTTCCTCACTAAGCAGCGTCTGCCTCGAGGTGCCCTCTGCTCTGCCTCCACGGGCGGCCAAAGGCAGGGGGCCACCACCACCCACGTGGCCTGCCTGCCAGGAGGGGACCCCCGCGCCCATGCTGCAGGGAGCTGGCTGGGAGAGCAGCCCTCCCGACCCACCCGGGCAGCCACACCCGGCTTCCTGCCCTGTCATCTCCCTCGGAGACCAGCTCCTGGCCTGCTCTGGTCACTGGGGCAGGCCAGCAAGCGGGGAAGGGCCCGGGCCAACCCCTGCCCAGTGGCTCCCAGGGCTCGAGCCTTCTCCCTCCCGGGCCTTCACTTCTCCGTCTGTGGTGAGGACGGGCACAGAGGGAAGATGACCCTGGCTTCCTCTCACTGTGGTCCTCGGCCAGCATGCTTCAGCTCAAGAACACTCCGTGACTCCCAGTGTTCCCTCAGGATAAAGTCCAGACATCCAAGGCCCTTCCAGAGCAGAGTCAGAGTCTCCCTGTCCCCACCACACCCCTGCTTGCCCCACAGTAGTCTGACAACTTCCTGCCTCTGTCCTTTGCCCAGGCTGGTCCCCCAGGCTGATACACCCTCCTCGCCCCTCTTTTCTGGCCAACTCACCCAGCGCCCTCAAAGGGCGGGCCTACATGCCGCCCTCCGGGGCAGCTCAGGCTTCCCCCTCTGGCTCTCCTGGGCCCGAGATTGGCACCATGGCAGACATATAGTAGGTTCTTACGATTTGCAGAGTGAACGTGGGGCAGATCTGGGATCATACCCTGGTTCCGGGAGCACAGTGCATGAGCACCTCCTGCATACCAGCCTAGGGCTCCGCACCCTAGTGCCCCGACCCTGGAGACCTCACCACAGCTGGGAGAAGGTGGCACCAGGAGGCTGGGGGTCGAGGGCCCAGCACTCCCAGCTCAGAGCAGGTTTGACTCCTGGGCCAGCGGACTTCAGAAATGTCCTGAAAGTTGGTGTCTCCTTGGTTTGGGCCTGTCTTTTGCCCGTGGGGCAGTGGGTGGTTAGACACAAAATGTGTGGCCCGGGCAGGTCCTCTGTTCTCTCTGGGCCCAGAGACCCCAAGCCCCAGCTGATTTGCTGACAGTGTGAAACGTTCCTTCCCCATCTCAGGCCCTAAACAAGGGTAGCCGCCCAGTGCATTTCGCAGACTGGCTTTGGTGCCCAAGACCTGTGGGAACCCCAGCCGCACCACACTCCCCCAGTAGCTCTCTCCTCTCCTCGGGTTTCTGATCTGCAAAATGGGAACACCCAGCCTGTGGGTTGCGAGTGCCCACGGGCGGGTGGCTTCGGCCAAGGCCTGGCCCCTGAAAGCGCACCTCTGGGGCTGTGGGCTGACTGTTCATTTGTGGGGTGGCCAGATGACCCCCACAGAGTGCATCTGGGGTGTGTGGGGAGATGAGCCTGGAGCTGGGCCCTCCCCCACACCGCCTCCCCCATCCCAGGGCCCCCCACCCAGCGACAAAGCCTGTGGCACTTCCTCTACCCGCCTGGCAGGCCGCCTGGCCCGGCCCCTTCTCTAAGGAAGCGCATTTCCTGCCTCCCTGGGCCGGGCTGGATGAGCCACAGCTCCGCACCGCGAGGGTCAGACCCCAGCTTCCATCCGCGCCGCGTCCCCAGCCAGGCCTGCTGCTGTCCACGCGAGCCCGGCACCCTCTCCCCGCCACCGGTCGGCCAGGAGCCCCGGCCCGGTTTTAATTCTCTTGTCCACTTCTCCTGCCCCTTGGCCACCACCCCAGAAGGCTGGAGCAGGGACGTCGTTGCTCCGGCCGCCTGCTCCCCTCGGGTCCCCGTGCGAGCCCACGCCGGCCCCGGCGCCCACCTGCAGCCCTGCCCCTGGACACTGGATAAGGCCCAGCGCACAGACTCCCGGGTGGACAGCATGGACCGCGGAACGCTCCCCCTGGTCACTGCCCTGCTGCTGGCCGCCTGCAGTTTCGGCCCCACGAGTAAGTGCCCAAGGACCTGGGTGGGGAGGCCCAGCCCCAGGCCCAGCCCCAGGTGTCCCGGCCTCCCACACGTGCTCGGCTCAAGCTCAGGGAGCCTTCCTGGTGGTTTTGGGAGAGGGGGACCAACAATCCCAGTTTGCTGAGACTAAGGGGTTTCCCGGGGGGAGGGACTTTCAGCATTAATGTTTTGGACAAAGTAGGGCAAGTTATCTATCTTGACCTTGATCCCTGGGTTCTGTCCCCCCTGCTGTGTCCAGCTCTGCCCTGGAAGTCCAGGTTCCAGAATGCTGTGCAGCCCAGGAGGGTTCCCAACCCTCTCTGGGCCTTGAGCTTCCCATCTAAGGAATGTGTGGGAACGATCTCGGGTTCTGCGTTCAAACCTCACCTTGTTACTTCCTTGAAGTGTGATTTGGGGGTCCACCTTTGGGCCTCTGAGCGAAGTGTGGTGGGTAACAAAGTTCCCCTCCGGGCTGTGGCGAAGGTGGGGTGAGCTCATGCTTGCCGGAGGTGTCTGTTATTGTCACTGCTGTTGTTTGGTTACTAGCTGTGAATTCCTCTACTGTCCCGGGGGGTCTTTAGGGTGCCCAGGCCAAGACTGTAGTCCCTGCTCTCCCGTCTCCCTCTCCTGCTCCCCAAGAGGGTGCAGACCCGGGCCAGGGTTCTGCTGGGGCTCCTTGGCCTGGGGTTTTCTCAAAGGGTCATGACCCATGTGGCCTTCAAAACTGACCAGAGGAGAGGTCCTGAGGAGTTGCTGATCCCCAGCCCGTGCCCCACTCTGTGGACCCCTGCTTTGTCCTGCCCCTCAGCTACCCCTCACCCTGGCCCCTCACCCACCCGTGCACCATCCAGGGGCTTCCTCACAGGTCTCGGGGGAGGCCAGCAGGGAGCCGAGAATGGGAGAAGGGGTGGGGGGCAGAGGCAGTTTCAGACACCCCCTCCCCACCTCCTTCACCCCCCCCCATTTTGTTAATTCATTATTTCCGTGGTCCTGGTGGTGGAGCCCAGGGCCTCACACATGCTGCACGAGCTGCACGCTGAGCCACATCCCAGCCCAACCCAGGATCCTCAAGTCCCTAACAGTCGAGCTCTTGCGACCTCACTGATAGACTAGAAACGGAGTCTCAGAGACACTGAGTGACTTGGCAGGGATTTGACTCCGGGCCTGTGGTTACCCAGAACATTTGCTCCCCACCATGTATGATAGGGGAACCCCACTTGATAAGGGTCCCCCTGGCCCTGCAAGATGGTTGCCATTGTCACCGCATTTCGTAGAAGAGAAAATGGAGGCATTGACCTGCCAAGTCCGCAGAGCTGAGACAGAGGCCCACCTGAGCTCCAGGATGTGCCTCCAGCGCTCTTCCTCTTCCTGCTTAGAAGAAGTCCCGCGCTGCTCGGGCCTGGTTTTATGGGATCAAAGGCAGTGACGCGGGGCAGAGGGTCAGCAATGGAGGTGGGTGGGCGAGACCTGGTCCGCAGCACCTGTCCGTCCCCTCGGGGTGTGCACACGCCCTCGGGGCTGACTCCAACCTCATCTCGTCTGTCAGAGAGGGGTGGCAGAGCTCAGGGGCACCATGACCTGGGACTTGCCCACAGACTCTAGGTGCAAATGACCTCAGGGCCATAGGAATAAATAAGCGGAGTAAAATAACTAGGAGGGAATTTTGATATTTATTACCTTTTGCAAAATATACAATTTCCTGAATTATAAGTTTGCATAATTTAAGTTTTAATAAAGTCACGTGTAACGACCATTTTGCAAAATGGGAACGGTATCCACCTGCTCCCGGGAAGAGCAGGGTCAGGACCCCTGGGCTCACTGGCTTAAGGGCGTCACGAGCATCCAGCCTGGCTCACTCGCAGTCTGGGCCACCGGGACCCACCATGGAGGGCAGATGGGGGCCTGGGCCAGGGCAGACCCAGATCTCCATCGGCAGAGGGCAAGCAGGCACTGTCATTCAGATGGAGGGGATGAAGGCCAGCTGTGATCCGGGTCGGTACGTCTTTGTATGTCCCAGCCACTGGACACTGGACGCCACCTCAAAGTCCATCAACAGGGCCCTGTTCAATAAATCATGAAGCGGTGGGACATGATGGGCGGGCGGATCTGTGCATCTGCGGCCGGGGCTGGATAGACAGGTGTCTGGAACAGGCTGCTAGGAGCCCCTCAGCAATTCCATTCCTCTACAACAGAAGGGTGATAATGCCTAGGGAAAATTCTGGAAGGATGTCCACCCATGTGACTATTCTGCAGCGTGGGGGACTTCCTCAGACACATTTTTCTGTCATGTTGATTTTTATTTTTTAAGAACAAGCATGTAGAGATTTTTAAAGAGCCTTTAACCTTCTGTTTGCTTCAGTCTGCCCCTCGAAGAAAGGAGACGGGGGTGGAGAGCTGGGAGGGTAGCCCAGTGGTCAAACACTTGCCTGGCCGTGTGGGGCCCTGGGTCCACCCCAGCCCACAATAAAGAAGGAAAAAAAATGGAAGAAAAGTCAAGAGTAAAGAAAATAGGCAAGAAAGAAACCAATCACCTCAAACTCCCAGGCACGGGGAGAGATTGGTGAGTTGCTGACTGCTCTCTGTTGAGATTTTATTTTTAATATTTATTTTTAATTTTTATTTTTTTTAAGGTGGACACAATGTCTCCATTTTATTTTTATGTGGTGCTGAGAATCGAACCCAGTGCCTCACACATGCCAGGCGAGCGCGCTACCACTTGAGCCACATCCCCGGCCCTGTCTGTTGAGATTTTTAAGATAATTTTAATCCAGGCAGATTAATATTTGGGGGTCTTGTGTACCCTTCTTGTGTCCCCAGAGGTTTCCATGTTGTCCTGTGGGCTCCATACGCATCCCTATTGCAGTTCTAGAATATTCTGTCCCTCCCACGTGCCATCGTTTGCCCAGTGACTCCCTCATTGGTGACTATTTAGGTGTTTTCCCTTCGTTTTAGTTATAAATACCACCGAGGCACGTTTGGGTTCGTGCACTCTTCCTGTGTTTCGGGTTATTTCCCTTGGATGGGGTCCCAGGAGCGGGTGCCGGGCCGGCCGAGCTGGGTGGCTGGATGGAGCAGTGTTTCCGAAGCAGAAGCAGCGTGTGAGGGTTTGCCCGAGGACAGGGCAGAGCTGTGCCTCGGGGCCTCCATGTGCCAGCCACCTGGCAGGGTCTGGGACTCGTGGCAGAGCAGACGGTGACACAGGACAGACACGCTCTTCAGCTGGACTCTGGGGCAGGTCCGCACTTGCCAGGGGAGAGGATGGAGAGGAGCAGTGTGAGCTGGGCGTGCGGCCTGGGGGGTAGCCATGTGACCACAAAGACTGTCCCGCGCCTCCCACTGAGGGACAGAGGGACTGGCTCCGGGTCGCCTGTGAGTCTTCCCTGGGCCCTTGGAAGACAGGCCTGGTCCCTTCACTCCATTTTTGGTGGATCTAGGTGAGAGGGGGACGACCAACTCTCCTGTGACCTCAGAGAAGGACATCGAGTTTCTCTCTGAGTGACAGCTCCAGGTCCCGGCCCCAGCAGCCTGCTCCAGAGCCCAGCTTTTGCCCCTCACCTCTGGCGTCGGGGCTCTGAGGACTGGGAGAGCTGGTCCCCCTGGCCCTGGGCACCCCCAGGCTTCGGGGCACCAGTTCTACAGCCTGAGGGGGACCCACATCCAGGGCTGGGCCGGCTTCGACCCCTACACAGGGTGGGGTGACGAGATACACCGCTGACACTCAGGCCGGGCTTACTGTATGCCTGCGCGGCTCTGGCCATATGTATGCACTGTGAGGCAGCCTCTGCACCCTGAGCCCTGAGCACCCAGAGGAGATGGACCAGGCAGGGAGGGGAGGTCACCAGAAAGGAGCAGCTGGGGTGTGAGCCCTGGGCCTAACCACTGCACCGCACTGCCTCAAGGGAGCCCATCCACGAGCTTCCTGTGGCCCAATGGTCACCCCACCCCTGCTCCTGTCCCCAGGGTGGCCCTCCCACCTCGGGCACAACCCTGGGGCCCTGCCTCAACCCTCAGTGGCCCCTCAGCACCCTGCCCTCTCTTCTGCCTCATCCCCAGAAGGAACCTTGGAGCACGGAGCCCAGGGCAGCTTGGAGCGGGTCCTGTTCCTTCCTTCTTCTCCCTGCCCTGGACCACAGGGGGACTGAGTCCTAGTACAGCGGAGGGACTTGCTGCCAGTCCTCCAGAGAGTGAGAGGCAGGCCTCACCAACCCGTTCCTCACGTGAGCGCAGCCTGCCTGGGCTCCAATGACAGGGACGCAGCGTGGGTGGCACTTGCCCCGTCCTGGAAAAGCTCACCGGGAGTGCAGACGCACAGACGGTCAGAACAACACACCTGGGTGCGTGTGGTTCTGGAAGGGCCGCCAGGCACCGGGGCACCAAGGACAGGAGGGGTCGTTCCAGTGAGACTCTCACCACAGGGTTTGAAGATGAAGAGAAGTGGGCCAGGGGCCAGCCCCAGGGTGATTATTAGTCTGAGAAAGGCCATGTTGAGAACGAGGAGAAAGCTGGGTGGAGGGAAAGCCTGTGTCCCCACTGACTGTGTTTGCCTAATTGTGATGGCAGTTGCCGGGTCCTGAGTGCCCTCCATTCGTCAGGAGCCAATGTGGCATTGTGTGTCTGTCACCTTAGGGACATGCTCACCGCTTCCTTGGGGAAGGTGTCAAGCTTGTGGTCCAGGTAGCATCACTGAGGAGTGGAAAGGCAGCTGGAAGGTGGCAGATTCAGGATCAGAGGTTCTGGTTGTAGTTGGACTCGATATCTTTATTTTATTTATCTATTTTTTGTGGTGCTGAGGACCGAACCCAGGGCCTCACGCAAGTAAGGCAAGCGCTCTGCCACTGAGCCCCAGCCCATCCCCAGATCCCTGGTCTTCCTAACTCCCCACTTTGGGTGGCCAGACGTGAACTTGACCCTACAGGTGTTGGGAAACTGTGGGAAAGACGGGAGTAGAGGGGAGTGGAGACCTCACTCGTGGCTGAGAAATCTGTGAGGTTGCAATGCACCCTGAAAGGAGTGAAGGGTGGTGGCGAACTGAAGAGGGGACAGATTTCTCTGCAAAGAAGGACCTTGTTAAAAGGTATCTGCCCTGAGCCAGATGTGCTGGCACATGCCTGTCATCCCTGCGGCACGGGAGGCTGAGGCAGGAGGATCACAGCTTAGCCAGGCCAGAAGCAATTTAGCTAGGCCCTGTCTCAAATTAAAAAATAAAAAGGGCTGGAAATGTGGCTCAATGGTTAAGTGCCTCTGGGTTCAATCCCTGGCACTCACCTTCCTCCCCAGCAAAAAAAAATTAGGAACAAAAGTGATCTGCCCTTGTATCGTGAGTGAGCCTTCACAGCAGTGGTGTCCTGAGCACCTATGGCCACTCAGGTTACTGCATCCAGTGACACACAGGCATGAGGTGTATGCTGGATGCTAGCTTGGCTGTCAGGGCTCAAGTCCAGGCTCTGCCACCTAGGCGCTGATAGCCTGGGGCAAACTCTTCGACCCCCACCCCACTCTTCACTTTCCTCCAGTCTCTAGAGGCTGCTGCGAAGAGCAAAGAATTAACTCAGGTGGAGCCTCAAGGCAGCCCCCCAGGTGGACTCCCAGGAGCACTCAGCCATGTCCTCAGCCCTTTTTTAATATTTTTATATTTTAATTTGAGACAGGGTTTTGCTAAGTTGCTTAGGGGCCTTGCGAAGTTGCTGAGGTTGAATTGAACTTGTGATCCTCCTGCCTCAGCCTCCCCAGCCTCTGGGGTGACAGATGTGGACCACCACGCCCGGTTCCCAATAAGCATTTTGGAAGCCTCTGCAATAATGATTGTCTGCAGATGGGGAAACTGAGGCCCGGGCACTATGCAGTCTCTGGTATACTCAGCAGGAGACTCAGACTGGCTTCTGCTCCGAGCGGCCCCCCTCTGAATTCAGAGGCAGAGCTGGGATTTGACCCAGGCCATCCATCTCTCGAGCTGCTTTTCTTGCCCCCAATCCTCTGTGGCTTCCAAGAGAGGTTTGCAAAGCCCCAGAGGTGGCTATATGCTCAGGGTTAGGGAGGCCAGAGGAGGGGAGAGTGTGGGGAGGTGGCTCCAGGGTCTCTCTTGGGAGGCCGGGTCACCCAGGCCCCCAGCGGCGCCTCCTCCGACCGGGTCCCAGGAGGCCCTGGCGTTCCCTTGGTGCCAGGGGATTGTTTTCAGGCGTCTGGGCCCGCCTCGGGCTCCAGGAGACAGGCCCAGGCGTCACACTCCCTCCTGTCTCCCCATTCTCCGTCTGCGGGGTGGGGGTGGCCAGGATTCGAAAAGGCCCCAAAATAAATGGACCTCTTATCTGATCTCCCAGCCTGGCCCGTTATCTGATCATGACATAATGGCCAGGCCTGTGGCCTCTCCCGATGGCTGACGGCATGGAGGAGGTGGCCCCAGGCGGCCCGGCAATCTAGGAGGAACTAGGGTTCCTGGAAGTCTGGGGAGGGGGCAGGGAAAGTCGGACGGGAAGGAGGAGGCACAGCGCTCGCTGCTCTGCAGGCCAGACCCCAGGCCCCCTGGGGAGGGGTTCCAGGTCCAGCTGGTCAGCCACAGGCTGTGTCTCTGCTTCGCTGGGCCTCAGTCTCCCCATCTGTACAACCTGGGTTTGGACTAAGGAACGAGGTTCAAGCCTTGGGGGCTAGAGGGTCAGGAGTGGAGATGGCCGGAGAGGGTGCCAGCCCTGAAGCTATCGGGTTGAAGGAGACCCCAGTGATGTCCCTCCCACAGGACCCTCACCTGGAGGCTGCCCCGTCCCACCACTTCACCCCCCCTTAAGAGAGTCAGATCTTCTATAGCGACTGCAGCCGATAAAATAATTGTAATAAAAAGAGTGACCGTATGCCCAGCCCCATGGAGGCTTCCAACAACCTCTGTGTGTTATTGGGTTCTATTCTTTTTTCTTCTTCTTTTTTTTCTTTTTGGTCCCCGGGATTGAACCCGGGCGCTTAACCACTGAGCCACATCCAGTCCTCTTTTTTCATTTTAAAACAGGATCTTGTTAAATTGCTGAGGGCAATTCAGTAGCTGAGGCTGCCCTTGAATTTGTGATCCTCCTGCCTCAGCCTCCCGAGTCACTGGGATCACAGGCGTGTGCCACCACACCTGGCCTGGGTTCTATTCTTATTGTCATTTTACAGATCAGGAAACTGAAGCTCTTGAGGGGTGAAAGCCGTTCAGCAGAGCCGCCTAGCTCATAAGCCTGGGTTCCAACTCAGGTCACCCTAACTCCAAGGACCTTGCTTGGAGCAAAAATGCCATATTGCCCAGACCCTCTGCAGTCCTGGCACATCAGGATGGGGCTAAAGGAGGCCTCGTAAAGTTTGAGACCCCACCGTGGCCAAGGTCCTCGTCCAGAACCATCTCGCAGGACGGAGCAGCAAGACCAGTCCATGGCCGGGCGGCCATCTTCCCTCCCCTGGGCTGCGGAAAGCCGGGAAAGGTGGGGAAGGAGGCCGGGTCAGGCTGCAGACGGCGGGGTCCAGGAGAAGCCTGCCTGCCCCCCCTCCGAGCTGGCGTCGGCTGGACGTGAGGCCAGTCCCTCCGCGCCCATCTTTGATCTCCAAGAAAACAGGAAGTGAGCGCGACAAGATGGAGACACAAACTTCCAAACAGTCTCCCCTTCCCTGTCCTCCTTCCCTCCTCCAGCCCCCCGCCCAGCACATTCCTCAGGACGAGGTGTAGGGCCCTTCCTCTTCCTCCTCTGCCGTCAGGGCGAAATTCCATCGCTTTCCCTCAGGACCTTGGTTTCCGGGCCGGCCTCGAGGCCTGCTCTGGGGCCTCCTTCCCCCTGGGCTACCCTCGAGGCTCGCCCTGTCCCGGGGCCAGGAAACTCTCAGCCTCTTCAGAACCGGTCCCCCTGGGCCACCTTGAGGGGGACAGCTGTGTCCCCTGTCTTGGCTCCTGCCTTCTTCAGGGTTGACCGGCCTCGAGGCCTGTTCACGGAACCCTGACCCTGGTGGGTGTCAGGTGCAGCAGGTGAACTATGGGAGTGCAGTTACATTGGAGTTTCAGATAAACCATGTAAGTTCCTCTAGTGTAAGTATAGCCCATGCAATATCTTGGGATAGACTTGTAGTTTAAAAATTATTCACTGTTTATCTAAAATTCACAGTTTAACTGGCAGCTTGTCTTTGATCCGTGACCTTTGGCCTAGTAGCACTGTGACCTCAGGCAAGAGACATTTCCTCTCTGAGCCTCAGTTTTTCATCTGCGGAATGGCCTCATTGATACCTATCTCGTAGGGTGGCTGTGGAGACGTGGTGGAGCCCTGAGTGGGCGCCCGTCCCGGGTGTTGTTTCTTTGTTAGCTGCGGCAGTGCCGGGCTGGAACCCAGGCTCCCCACGTGCTAGGCCAGCGCTCTGCCCAGAGCCGCACCCAGCCTCCTGGCCTGCTTCTTAACTGTCCGTCTTCCCCTCTGCTTCTCCAACAGGTCTTGCGGAAAGTGTCCACTGTGACCTACAGCCTGTGGACCCCCAGAGGGGAGAGGTGACATACACCACCAGCCAGGTGTCTGAGGGCTGCGTGGCACATAATCCCAACGCTCTTCTTGAAGTCCACGTCCTCTTCCTGGAGTTCCCAGATGTGAGTGCCCCTGCAGGGTCAGGAGGGGCCCAGAGAGAGCTCCAGGGCCCTGGGATGAGGGTCTTCCTGTGGTCGCCCCTGGGATAGTGGTCAAGTCCTCCCTGGGGACCCAAGAGGTGGCATTTCTGGTGGCAGGGGCAATCCTTGGAGAGAACCATAAGACCTAGGTGGGGGGGCTGGGGAGAAGAGCCAGGGGGCTGAGCGGGGCTCCTGCGTCTCCAGTGAAGGGATTTGACGGCTTCTCAGGGGACTTCACGCCACTGTAGGCAGCGTGGACCTTGAAAAAGGGTTTCTTTTAGCTGAATTCCAATATTCCTCCCTGGACGGTCCCCCATCCAATGTCTGTAGCCCCACTGGGCAGTGTCCAAGATCCAAAGCCAGCGAGTCCAGCCTCAAGACAAACCCCACCGGGAGAGCCCTCTGAAGCCCACCTTCGGTTTGTCTGAGCCTCTTATTAACGACACGAACACACTTGTCTCTCCTTACTCCACGCTGGGGCCGCGCTGGGGTCGATGTCTGCCAGGGGCTAAGCACGGTCCACGCAGAAGCCTCTCCAGGACCATCTGCCAGGGCCCACTCTCGTCCCCGCTTCCCAGAGGAAGGAACGGAGGCTAGTTTTGTGACGTAAAGAAACAGGCCCAAGGCCAGAGTTCACCCCGAATCCCCAGGGGATCCAGAGCCAAGCTGTCACCTGGCTTCTCAGAGGTCAGCCAGCTTGGGCCTGCCTGGGCTGGAGGCCACACCTGGCCCACGTGGCCTTAGGTCCTAATAGCAATTTGCAGCGTTGGCTCAGGGTAAACATGTGGCCAACCTGCCCCCAAAACTGTTGAGTTGCCTTGCATTTGTGTGGTGATAAGAAGGTGCCCAGACCACCAATATCGGGGGGCCCTGCTCCCCACCGCCTTGCCTGCTGCAAGGACTGTGGGCTTTGATAACCCCCAAGCCACAGATAGCACCAAACATATTTTATGTGGTTTTTTCCTAGGCATGGTAATTTTTTTTTTTTTCCAAATTTGGTAATGATATGGAAGATTGCCTTCTGTGAACTCACTTCGTTTGCTCTGATGTTTAGGTCCCCGCACCTCTTAGGGGTGACTGGGATCGTCAACTGAGGTCCACAGTCAGAGCAAGGCTACAGGTCAGAGCAGGGCCCAGCCAGGTGTCCAGGTGTATGGGAGCCAGCCAGCCAGGGCCCGGAAGACTGGCGCCCTCCCAGGTGCCCAGGTCAGGCAGGAGCAACAGGAAGAAGGGCCAGGAGTTGGCTGAGTGTGGCGGGGTGGGGAAGAGCAGAGGAGAGACCAAGGGGAGAGTCTGTCGGCGGGCTCAGCGCGTGGCAGGAGCTTGCCTTTCATCGCAGAGGAGGGCACGGAGACGGAAAAGATCTGTCACTATTAAGGAGCTTGCTCTTTGTCTATGGGCAGAGACAGTCAGTGGAGGGTTTTTACGAGTGTGGCAGTATGCCACCGTAACTCACGTCGCAGTTCAAGGACCCTGGAGTTGGTGACAGAGAATCCCCCTGTCATCCCCGCCTCTTCCAGGGACCTCAGCCTGACTTATTTCTCGGAGCCAGGCTCTGAGCTCCTGTGCTCCTGGGCATAAGCGCCTGAGGAGGTGGTGGAGAGCGCAGGGGCCCAGGAGAACCACACCCAGCCCTGGATCTGTCACTGGTCACACCTTGCAGTGTACTTGGAGTGCAAGGGGTGGACCCCCACACACCCTTCTTGTCTTGAGGGTCTCACCAAGAATCACAGAGCTGCAGAAACTGACCCCAGCCTGGCATCTACTCAAGTGTGAGCCCGGGCAGGGCCAGGAGCACAGGTCCTAGCTGGGCTGCTGACGAGCCTGCCCTTGTAGTCCCAGCTATTCTGGAGGCTGAGACAGGAGGATCTTTTGAGCTCAGGAGATCGAGGCAACTTATCCAGTCACCATCTCAAAACAAAACAAAGCAACAACAACAATAAGAACTCCGTTTCTGGAGCCAGACGGTCCCCAGGAGAACTTTGGCTGACCTCTTCTGGGTCCGTCGCTGTGATGGTCCCTACCTCACAAGGTTGCTCTGAGAATCCCAAGGGATCGTGCAGGCAAAATACTGAGCACAGCCAGACGCAGTGGTGCCTGCCTATGATCCCAGTGACTCGGGAGGCTGAGGCAGGAGGATGACTAGTTTGAGGCCAGCCTGGGCAACTCAGTGAGACTCTGTCTCAAAAAAGAGCCCAGGGCCTGCCCAGGGCCTGCCCAGAGCCTGCGTATGGCATGCAGTCATGGTTGTTGTTAGTATCATTGCTTCTCTCTAGGGTCTGTGTCTTCCCCGTTAACACCCCTGCAGGGAGAAGAGGCAGAGGCCAGGAATCCATTTTCAGAGAGGCTAACTGTAGTCCAGCCCCATGGAGCTGGGCCTCTGTACCAAGCTCCTTGTTCCACGATCCTGCCAAGTCCTGCACTGAGGAAGCTATGGCTTCCAAGGCACCTTCCTCCCCAGGCGGCCCCCAGCAGGGGTCCACAGCTCCACGGGCCCCTCCACCAGCTCTCACCAGATGCCTGCTCTGTGCCCGCCCTGTGTTGGGCACTGAGGATACAGAGAGAAAGGAGAGCCAGGCCCTTCCTGCCCCTGCCACTCATGGGCGGGGAGGTAGACATTGGCAGCCGTGGAATTGAGTGATGGGATCGGCAAGGGGGCAGGGGTGCAGGGGCCTCTGTGGGTGACTTCAGGGGACAGGGACAAACACTGAACATGAAGAGAGGGGCATTAGGGAAAAGGCTTTCAGAGGCTAGGCACTTGGTGGGGTCAAGACCCTGAGGCCAGAGACATAGGCTGGTGGCTCTGTGGGGTGGCACTGGCTCAACAGCCAGCCAGATCCCTCCTGACCTATTACCGCCTTCGTCAATCCTGGCACAGAAAGCGGCTTTCCCAACCATCTCTGCGTGGCCTCAAAACCCTCAGACTTCCTGTGGGTGGGTGGCCCTCGTCTGAGCAAGGGCCGCGGAGAGCCCCAGGCATCGCGAGGCCCAGAGAGTGTGTGTGTGTGTGTGTGTGTGTGTGTGCGTGTGTGCGTGTGTGCGTGTGCGTTGGGGTGGTCTGCAGACGCACCAGGGGGCTGCTGGGCAGGGGCTTTATCTGCTTGGTCCCTGAAGGGCAGGCCGGAGCCTGGATTCCGGGAGGGGGCCGGGATCACATCCTGACCCGGGAGACAGGAAGCCGGCCTGGTGTCTCAGCAATTCCCGTCAGACCCGCTGCGCTGATCTGCCGTCTTCCTCACTGAGCCCCAGCAGCCAGGCCAGGGCAGAGCCGGGTCGGCCGCTGATTCACCCCACTCCCGGCAAACGGGGCGGGCGAGTCAAAGACACCCCACCCACGCCTAGGCAGAGGAGGGCCAGGACTGGGAACTGACTCAGCCTGGCCAGAGGGGCAGGCAGGGCCATTCCGGCAGAGAAGGTGATCCAGTAGGGACCCCAGGCTCCCCAGATCATCCTGGGAAGGGGCTGTGGAAGGTAGTGCAGCCCCCAGGCCTGGACAAGGGGCCCCCACCCTGGGCCCCAGAATGAGGGACCTCTCGATGGCCATCTTCCAGTTGATCCCTCCTCCAGGGTAGGGGGACTGTGTGGACAAAGGGGTGTGCCCACCTGAACCTCACCCTCCTCTCTAGCTTCTGCTGTGGATACGAGGGTCCCTGAATTCCTTACCCAATGACACAGCCCTTATCCCAGGACTGCATGGGTTTTTTTCTGGCCGGGGGTACTGGGGGTTGAACTCAGGTGCTCCACCACGGAGCCACATCCCCAGCCCTTTTTGTTTTTTAATTTTGAGACAGGGTCTTGCTAAGTTGCTGAGGCTGGCCTTGAACTTGCAATCCTCCCATCTCAGCCTCCTGAGTTGCTGGGATTATGGGCATGGCCTTCACATCTGGTGTGGCTCTTTCTTGTCCTTTTTCTGGGAGGGGCAGCTTCTCTAGGCCTGAAGGGTGGTGGTGGTGGCTATTTGGGGGTAGGATGGCAGAGTCTGGGCATATGGGGGGCTGTTCACATATGGACACCTGAGGTCCTTGCTGTGCTGTCAGAAGGAGGGTGCAGAGACAGGAGCGGGGCTGGGGCCGGCAGCTGCCATCATATTCTTGTTCCAGGATTTTCAAATGTGAGAGGCGGGCTTGACCCAGGGGCCTGGGTGGGCAGGGGTCAGATGTGCTGGGCAGGGACTGGGCTTGTCTCTCACAGTGTCCCCGGTGGCCAGTTCCAACTCAGCCTGGGGTTAGATATCTGCTGGATGATGTGTGGATAATGGAAGGGAGGGAGGGAGGAAAGGAGGAGGAGAAGATATCTGAGCATAAGCCTCTGTCATCTGCCACTTGAGTGCCTGGGTCATTGTTTGGTTGTTCAGGGGTTAACTTTGTTCTCTGCTGTACTATCTCCCATCCCCATTGGGGGGAGCAGAAGCCCCCTAGCCGGCCTCTCTGGCAGGAAAGAGAGTCAGGGGAGGCAGGGAGAGCCCCAGCTGACCCCCCAGAAGGGCTGGAGGGAGCAGAGGCCCCACTGTGGGGGTGGGGAGAACATATCTCTCCAGGGATTCTGGAAGCCCCCTCTGTGGCCACCTGGCTGGAGACCAGGACTCCCAAATGCTAAGCGCTGAGGGACCCCCAGGAGGCCGGCGGGAATGCAGGAGACACCCAGTTCCTGAATAGCACTGAGCCTGACTCCCCCGGGCAGATGGGAGCAGACACCTCCCTGTGGCGCGTCACAGCTCCCACTACCTGCTGCCCAGGTCTGACATCCAAAGCTGTGGCACTGCCCTGGGTGAGTGCCCATGTGCTGCCATCCCTCGGTGTCCCTGGGGGGATGGGTTCCAGGATCCCCTCGGATGATACCAGAATCCAGAGATGCTCAGGCCCTGTGTGGAGTGGTGTGGTCTTGCACATACCTGAGCAATGCTCTGCTCCTCTTTAAAGTGTCTCCAGATTATTATAAAACCTGCCACAATGCCAGGGACACACAGATAGTAACAGAAAGAAAAGCCCTGCCAGGCACACGACACACGCCTGTCATCCCAGCGTCTCTGGAGGCTGAGGAAGGAGGATCACAATTTCAAAGCCAGCCTCAGCACCTTAGCGAGACCCTGTCTCAAAATGAAAAATAAAAAGCCTGGGGATGTGGCTCAGTGGCAAAGCACCCCCTCTCGTACCAAAAAAAGAAAAAAAAAAGGGAGAGAGAGAGAGTGAGAGAAAGAAAGCGAGAAAGCTCATAAATGTCCAGCACAGACACAATTTAAATCATATATACATACATACATATTTTGGAGCTGTTTGGTGGCACACTCCTGGAAGTCCTAGCTAGGCAGAAAGATCACTTGAGCCCAGGAGTTCAGGGCCAGTCTGGGGAAATAGGAAGACCCTGTCTCCTTAAAAAAAAAAAAATTATCTGTGGTTGCTCAAATTTGTGGATGCAAGACCCACATCCACAGAGGGCCAGCCATGCCTAGCTGGACACTGGACAGCCCACTCTGGGGCAGAGTCACACAGCATCCTTGTGAGTCTGTGAGGGGGGCGTATTGTCAGCCCATTTTCCATATCATGAAACTGAGGCCCAGGAGGACTGTCCAGGGTCACAGGCTAATGACTGAGTACACATATTTGAATTCGGGTCTGTCTGGCTCTGACCCCTTTCCCCGGCCACCCTTCCTGTATGCACTGTCTGAGTCTGCTGGGTGGACGGAGGGACGGCTGGCTCCAATGTGACCGCCTCCGGCTGGCCCTGAGGGTGGGGGCTGCGGGCAGCCCCGAGACTCCACTCCTAGAAGAATTGCTGGAAGCGGCTTTCTATAAGTGGCTACTAGCGCTCAGGGCCTCCTCTCTGAAATCCCCCGTCCCACCTCCAACCGCTGGCCCCACAATGGCATCTGTGGGCACAAAAATAGCAACTCACCTCCCGCCCACAAGTTCAGGGAAGGGTCGGGCAGGCCCAGCCTGCAGGGCTGGGGGCAAGGGGCTGGCTGGCCTGTGCGCCATGCCTGGGCCCTGAATTCCCCAGGATCTCACCTAGAAGACTGGGAGCCTGGGGCAGGGGCAGGCAGGCCCCTCTCTTTGCCTCTGGGGGCAGAGAGAAGGGAAGTCGGGTGGGTGCGAGTGGCTGCCGGTGAGTCAGGCTTTGGGGATGGAAATGTTTGCTATGGAAACCCAACTGGGTCTTCTGGTAACCAGTTGGCCCTCAGCGAGGCCTGGGAGCTCTGGGACCCCAAGAGCCCCATTTTCCAGCCTCCCCCAGTATCCAAACCACTCATGTGTGATCCAGGCCAGCTTTTGGCCTTAGCCTCCCTGTCCCCCAACTGAACAGGAAAGTCTTGGTGACAAGGCAGTGGTGGGTCTGGCTTAGGAGCCCTGGGAGAAGAACTGAGTATGTGACAAATGTCACAAAGTTCTAGCCTCCTAGCCTTCTGACCCCAGCTGACCGGGCCCTGACCTCCATCTCCCTTTCTTCACTTCCTTTCAGCAGAGCCCCGCCTGGTTCTGCTTTCCAGCCATATTCCCATTTCACAGGCAAGGAAACTGAGGCACGGAGGCACCGGCGGTGTCGCGGTAGCAGCTGGTCCCATCACACAGGGTTCTTTCCTCCAAGAAGAGCCTGGCTCCCACAGCTGGCGGGTGTCCACCAAGGGACAGAGGACGGCTTTCCCCTTCCACTGGTGTTCCCTGGCTGCAATCTGCCAAGTCATGGGGCCCATCTCTCTGCCATATGTACCCCTTGAAGTTCTCCTCTCAGGGTGGGGACAAACAAGTGTCACTGAGGCGCAGTTGAGAGAAGGGCACGGTCCAGGGCCTGGGGTTTGGCTTTGCCTGCAGTTGCCTCTGCAGCTTCCTCCTGGAGCCTCTATTTCCCCATCTGTAAGATGGGAGGACACCTGTTCCTGCTTTGATCAGAAGCGCCTGCCACGTGCTCAGCGCAGGGGCAGACCGGGCGGGGTCGAAATCACTGGCACTCGGTTGTTTTTCGTAACAACTTTATTGAGGTAAAATTCACCCATTCAGAGAAGAACCTGAGTGGTTTGTGGATAGGCACAGTTGTGTGCCCATAGTTGATGGTTTCACAGGACATAGGACAGAGCACCAGGCCTGGTCTCCACACCAGCGAGGTGGCTTGCACTTTCCTTTGGTCAGGTCTAAGTAGTGATCACAGCCCTGGAGCCAAAGGCTGGTTCTGACAGTTAGATATTTCGCATTTCACAAAAAATGGCCTTAAATCCAGCAATTAGTTATTAAAGTGTTTAGAATGCATAATATTTTAAAAAACTGATGAAACAGATGCTATGAAACAGCATTATAAAGCCATTAGAAAACGTGATGGAACCGATGCACACATAAACGTGAAGCCCCTTCTCCTTCTACTGTAAACCAGCGTGAGAATCACTATTGAAGAATAATTGCCTAAAGAGCCCTCCAAAGGGACAGAGCTGATTTGTGGAACACTGAAAATGAAGTCACAGTATTTGCTCTCTTTTTTATTTGTTTTAAAGAGTGAACTTGAACACAAAGAGTGATTACAGTGTTATTATTGAGTAGCGGAAATATTTCTGAGCAGATTTTTCCAGGGTCTGACCCGCTGTCTCTGGCTCGGTGGCGTCAGCTGGGGAAACGCAATCTGATGTGAATCCCCACGCTTTCCACGGTGTCTCCATCTTGAAATCGCTTGTCCCTTCTGACGGGGGGAGGAGACTTTTGGGGTCAGCTCTTGGCCACAAGCTTTTGTCTGAGAGCTGCTGGCTCTGGAAGCACAGGAAAGCGCGTCCGCGTCTGTCTTTGTCCTGGAGAGTCGTGGGGCTCTGGGGTCCTGAGCTGTCTCTTCATTCTTGCTCCTCAGCCATTCACACCCTGCCTGCTCAGAAAGCCACGGGGCAGAGCGGAGGTCACTCTCCACAGAAGTTATGCCCTGTGGGTCACTGTCATCTTTTACTTCTTGGTCATAAGATGTAGAAAAATATGGCAGGAGTTCAGAGCAGAGGCCTGCCTGGGTCCGAATCCCAGCCCCAGCTTATTTGCTGTGCAATCATGGGCAAATAACTGCGCCTCTGGGCCTCAGTTTCCTCATCTGCAATTGAGAATAATAAAGGGTTGTTTCATTAATTAAATGAGTTAATGGAAAATACTTAGAATAGTCCTGGCACATAGAAAGCCATGTGTAAGTGTGGATATTACTGTTGCTGTCATGAAAACATAATTACATCAATTTAAAAACATCTTTTGTTTTTTGCTCTTGTAGCTGGGGATCAAACCCAGGGCCTCACACATGTTAACCAAGCACTGTACCATTGAGCCACACCTCCAGCCCCCCATCAGTTAAAATTTTTCTGCAGGCTGGGGGTGTAGCTCAGCGGTAAAACCTATGCTTAGCATACACGAGGCCCTGGGTTCTATCCCCAGCATAAAAAAGAAAAAAGAAAAAAACACCTAAAAATGCAGTCAGAAATAAAATGAATTCCACTTCACATTTTTATATTAAAATAATGGTATTATAGAGACTGGCATCTTAGCACTTTAAAATAGTGAGATAAGAGGAATACTGCAAACTAAAAGGGGAATTCGAAACATATTTGGTTCTGGAGTGTCCCCCAAGGAGTGGAGGGTGGGTCTCCCATCCACTGGTTGGGGTTCCTTGGCTGTGATCTGCATGCGAAGCACATGCTCTACACTGAGCTGCACCTCCAGCTCTTAGGAGAGCAACTGCGAATGTCTCCTGTGGGCTGAAAGCAGAATCTCTGCACCAGGGTCAACCATAGAGGGAGAGGGGACAATGGGGGAGCAGTCACTAACTATACACACAGGGCTCACAGGCCAGGACACAGCAGGTAATTAATGGAAGTAATAAATCTTGATTGACTATTGAGAAGTTTGGGCTCATCCCAGTTTTTTTCTCTCCTTTGGGATTTGCTGGGACTAATTTCATTCATTCGTTTGATATATTTTCTGGCACATCCTGGGGGGCTTGACTCTACTCACAGGTAACCAAGAGAAACCAAACTGAGTGGGGAGAGTGGAGTGGAAGCTTTCACTGCTTAGCTGAGTGGCCCCAGCTGTGCAAGTCTGACTGGTCTGTGTGTCTCCCTGTCCCCGCCCAGGAGTTGGCAAAGTTGGAGCTGACCCTCCAGGCATCCAAGCAAAATGGCACCCGGCATCGGGAAGTGCTTCTGGTTCTCGTGGCGAACAAGAGCGTCTTGCTGCAGCTCCAGGCTCTGGGAATCCCACTCCACTTGGCCTACGTGAGTGCATCACCCCCAAACCCAGGCCAAGGCCCTGGCCAGGGTCTCCTGCCCCTACAGCCTTGTTTGACTCACCAGGGCCCTGCCAGGTGACTGATGGGCCCTGACAAAGAGACACCAGAGGATGGCAAGACCTGAGATCAAAGAACCCAGACCAAGAGTGGGAGTCAGGCTGATGTACAACCTGGCCAGCGGGGGTCCTCAGCGTGCCCATCTGTTCAGTGGAACAGTTCGGCCCAATGATATCCCATCAAATAACATTTTCATTGTCTTTGATAAAGTTAGAAGATATTTGAAAATGTTTAAGTACAGAGGAAAAGGGTCATGAGGAAACCTAACATTGTGTTAACAGTGGTTAGGAAAGGGACATGGGATCAGGAGAGACTCTGATTTTGTTCTTTATACTTTGCCGAATTTGGGAGAGTTGCCCTAATTGACAGGGCTCACGTTGGAGGAAAAAAAATTATGTTTTAAAAGCTCAACTCTTAAGTGTTAGACACATCCACGAAGAAAAAGGACCCACGGGCTTTGTCCCACTGCGGGGAGCCTGCGGCCGGTCAGCAGGGCCTCCTACACAGGGAGGGCCCTGGGAAGTGGCCCCAGATGTGAGCAGCTGTTCTTGCAGATGAGAAAGCAGAGGAGAGAGCAGAGCAGGCCAGGAGGCAGCAGAGAGGACAGGGGAGGCACAGAAAGAAACAGACACTGACGGGCGGCCAGCGGGGCGGGGGAGGGGACACCAGAGAGACTGGGGGGGGCAGGACTGCAGGCAGAGGGCAGAAGTCGGAGATGGGTGGGTGGGTGGGGGGAAATCTGGATGCAGCGAAGCCAGCATGGAAGGCCCCTGGCGGGAGGGAGAAAGTCACGGCCAGCTCCCAGGGCCCAGGGCCAGGGCGGTGGGCAGGGAAGAGCTGGGCCACCCCAAGAGAGCCCGGAGGGAAACCGAGGCCGGTCGGAGCGGGACTTGCCGTGGCTCCTCCCCCTCCCTCTCCCGCTCTTCTGGGGTGGAGGCTGCGCCTGCAGGACCATGGTCCGTGCTGAAGGTGGCCGCAGCCTCAGCAGCGCCTTCCTCCTGGGGCTGAGTCTACCTGCAAGCCCAGGAGCCGTCCCGGGAGCTGGGCGGGCCTGAGTGTCAGACCTGGCGCCAGGCGACTGACACTGACAACATTGAGCCCTGGGTTCCCTGCTGTAGACCCATTTTACTGACGACCTTAGCCAGCCCCCATTTTTAAACCACCATCCAGTCCCAGTCTTTCCCACCAAGGGACCTGTGGTCCTCACCCATGGATCACTTTGCCCCTTAGTTAATTTCTGCAGAGAGGGTTGTGGGCTCTATTCTAGAGGGATCATTCTATGGTGTCTTACCTACTGTCACTGACAGGCAGTCCTCCTTAATATCTAACTTGAAGCCCTGCTGCTGCTGCTGCTTCAGCTCAAGGCCTTGGCCTTGGAGATGGAATACAAAGGAACTCTGAACCAGTGGCCCCAACAGCTTCCTCTGAATCCCCCCTAGTTTCCTTGCCCAGCCCACCAGCTCCTCCCCCAGGGCACTGGCAGGAAGATGGGGAGGTGTGGGAGCTTCCTAGATTCCCAGTCCTTCCAACCAGGGGACCCATCTCGCTCCTCTGTTCCTTATTAAATGACATCCTCTGGCTTCTTTTGCTTCCAATGACTTGATGCATATCTAGTTTCCAAATGATGAGGTCCCCCAAAGCAGGACCACCCCGTCTCCTTCATTTTTCATTTCTTCATCTATTCCTGTCCTCCTTCCTTCCTGCCTTCCCGTGTTCAGGGAGCCGGGTGGCAGGGTGAAGCTGGTATGGCAGGTCCCCCGATGCTGAGCCCCGAGTCCAGCACCAACTCAGACAAATATTTCTTGGTGCCTCCTGCATGTGGAGCCCTGTGCAGGGATGGGCCAGAGTGTAGAGGACAGAAGGTAGCCAGATGTCATTTCATGTGGGTTCAATGGGTAGAACCCCAGCGGGGCCATGTTTGGACAGGTGGATGAAGAAGGATATGTGTCCTTACAGCCCCCAGGTGTGGAAGACAGACAGAGCAGATTGGCAGGGGTGGGGGAGCCCTTGGGGGCTCTGGGATGACTGCAGATCCACCAGCTTCCACACTTTCAGCCCTGGACTCTTCTCAACCAAAGGGCAGACTCCCCATATTATTCCCTAACTTCCTGCACAGGACAGAAAGGACTGAGCACTCTCTGTCTCCCCAGAACCCCAAACTGGTCTTCTGCCAAGAGCTCTGGGGAGCCAACCACACAGAGCTGCCATCCTTTACCGCCAAGAGCCAGATCCTTGACTGGGCGGCTACAAAGGGCCCCATCACCTCAGCTGCGGCGCTGGAGGACCCCAGCAGTGTCCTGCTGCGGCTGGGCCAAGGTCAGCTTCCCCTGCAGCCACTCTGCGCTCCGTCCAGCTCTGGAGGAATCTGAGCACCTCTGATCCATTCCTCAGACTAAGGCGCTAAAGATCCCAAGTGGGATATGATTTGCCCTGGGCCACACACAGCAAGGCAGTGCCCTTTGGGGACAGCGATTCCTCCTTCACCAAGTATCAGACTGAACTATGTGAAATGACAGGTTTTCCTTTTTTTTTTTTTTTTTGTTTTAAAGCCCCCAATCCCCCAGCACTGTCACGTTGTTCATTGTGCATCTACTGTGTGCCAAGTTTGCTAGGCACTCAGATGCTCTGTGGGGACAGACTCCCCTCTCCTGGAGCTGCCACTCTGATGAGGGAGATGATGATTAACATGTAAAGAGATAAATTCTATGATATTAGGTTTTGGTAGGAGCTATAGGAAGGACGAGAGAGGAAGGATGCACGGGGTGGAGGCCAGGCTGTATCTCCAACCCGGGCCATGGACTCATTCCTTGTATTAACCCTGTATTGACAGATGAAGAAACAGAGGCCCGGGGACTTGCACAGGGTGGCTCAGAAGGTAAGTGGTGGCGTCGCGGTTTGGACCTGGGTCCTCCCAAGCCCCACCCTTGAGGCTCCCTGCTGCCGGCCCATCTCTGCCTTTGGCGCTGGGTGAAGATGGAGCCCTGTGTAGTCAGGAGCCAGGTTGCCCCCGAGGGGACTGAGGTGCGTTTGTCTCTGCAGCCCTGAAGTCACCATCCTTCTGTTTGCTGGAAGCCGGCCGGGACATGGGCCGCACCCTCGAATGGCAGCCGCGGGCCCCGGCTCTGGTCCGGGGCTGCCGCCTGGAGGGCGTGGCCGGCCACAAGGAGGCGCACATCGTGCGGGTGCTGCCGGGTGCTGGAGCCGGGTAAGGGTGCCCGCCCCGCGCCAGGCCCGCCCAGGCGCCCCTCGTGGGGCCCAGAGCCTACCCGACCCACCCAGTCCCGTGTCCCCCACCGGGCCAGGGAAGAGCGCAGCCGCTGCCCCCTGGACGCCAAGGCCCAGTCCCAGCCCGCGGTCGCCGTCAGACCCCGCGTTCCCCGTGTTCCACCCGCGCTGACCTGTCAGTCTCGCCGCAGGCCCCGGACCGTGACAGTGAAGGTGGAACTGAGCTGCACCTCCAGGGATCCCGACGCCATCCTCATCCTGCAGGGCCCACCCGACGTGTCCTGGCTCATCGACGCCAACCACAACATGCAGATCTGGGTAAGTCTCACCCGCCTTCTCGCCTCTGCCTTCAGGCCGCCTGCAGGCACCGCACCCCACGCTGGGCTTCAGGCAGATGGTTCTGCTCCTAGGGCTCTGCCTGTGTCCACCACCTGTCCTTCCTTCAGATCTTCACCCAGAGGTCACCTCCTCCTGGCAGCCCTCTAACCCGGAGCACAGGGTCCAGGGCTTCTGGGAGAGGTGAACCCTGAGCTGAGTTCAAGGACAATGGAGACAGTAGTCAGGGGAAGGTGGCCAGGCAGAGCAACAGGGGAGCCAGGAAGAGCAGGAGGAGGCCTGGCATCACCCTGCCTAGCCTGCGGGTCCCTGGCCCGCCACCGGCCCGACTGCACCCTGACTCCCCGCTCTGCTCTCTCCTGGCCTGTAGACCACTGGCGAGTACTCCTTCAAGATCTTTCCAGAGAAGAACATCCGTGGCTTTGTGCTCCCAGATACACTCCAAGGCCTGCTGGGAGAGGCCCGGACGCTCAACGCCAGCATCGTGGCCTCCTTCGTGGAGCTCCCTCTGGCCAGCGCTGTCTCGCTGAGGGACCCCAGCTGTGGTGAGCCAGTCCCCTCTCCTGCCCCTCTCCCCTGCCGGCCTTGGGTCACTTGCCACGGCGTCCTGGAAGTTTGGCCAAGTTGCACCGACCTCTCTGGGCCTCATTGTCCTCATCTGCAGCATGGGGACAATGAATAGCTGGCCTCCTGAGAGCATAGTGCCAGTGCATCGTGAGTGGTCGGTTGCCGGGTTTCTGTTCTCACGACTCAAAGGCTCAGGGGTCACTCCAGGGGAACTGGGCTGACTGGGCTGCGCAAAATAACTGCACAAGAGACACAAAGACCTTTTTCTTCGGGGTCACTGTGACAGCTCCTCTGACCTTAAGGGTCCACAGGAAGAGAGAGAGCGCGAGAGCATGCGCTGACCCCTTTTATTGAGGAGAAGCTATTCAAATGAGGCAAGGGGTCAGGTTTCAGGGGGCTGAGTCTATCTTCAGGATGTCCACTGTCAGCAGGTGACTGACACCTGGGTAGGCCACACCCAAGGGCACAGTAAGAGAAGGGGACACACACAAGGCACTTCCATGGAAGGTTCTATCCCAAACAGGGCAAGGGGTTATATTACAAAGGAACAGGTGAGCATAGCTCCACCCATGGGGCTGTAGGAAGGCACGCCCATCCACAAAGACACAGTCAGGTGAACCCTAGAAGAGCACCCTAGAAGAGCAGGGCTGTCTAGCAGCATGGGTGCCTGACACCACAGAGCCCAGCAGGGGAGTTAACTCAGTCACTTGCAAGGTTGGTTTCCCCCAGTCGGTGACTGCCTGCTTTGCCCACCACCTGCTACCCCCCAGGCGGTGGACTACAGACCTCACCTGCACCGGTCCCAACCACCCCTCCCAAGGAGAGCTGCAGCCCAGAGCTACTCATGTCCCTGATCCAGCCCAAGTGCGCCCATGACGTCATGACTCTGATACTGAAGAAAGATCTGGTGGAGGTAAGAGAATCCAGCCCGCCCGCCCTCTAACAGCTAGTTCCTCCCTGGCCTCAGAATCTTGGGGCCCCACCCAGGCAGGGGGGGGACAAGTCACCTCTCTCTACAAGCCTGTATTCCCACTTTAAAATGTGATTGGTAATGGTACCTACCTCATGGCGAGAATTCAGTGAGGCCAAACTCGGAAAACAGTCAGGAGTGGCACAGAGATCTCAGCAAATAACACCAGGGGGTCATTAATCCCACAGTTGGCTGAGCTGGGAGGTCACTTAACATAATAACACTTAGCAGGCACAATGTGGTCTCTGCCATACTGACAAAGGAATATTTACAATAAAAATAATGCATGTGCCAGGTGCAGTGGCCACACCTGTAATCCCAGCAGCTCTGGAAGCTGAGGCAGAAGGGTCGTGAGTTCAAAGCCAGCCTCAGCTAAATTTCGAGGCCCTAGGCAACTCAGTGAGACCCTAAATAAAATACGAAAAAGGGCTGGGGAATGTGGCTCAACGGTTCAGTGGCCCTGAGTTCAATTGCTGATACAAAATAATAATAATAATAATGCACATGGCTCAGTGGTAGAGTGCTTGCCAGGATACATGAGGCCCTAGGTTCAATCCCCCAAACAAAAGCAAAACAAAAAAAGCTTTAAAACTGAACAAGGGGCTGGGGATATAGCTCAGTTGGTAGAGTGCTTGCCTTGCATGCACAAGGCCCTGTCTTCAATCCCCAGCACCACACAAACAAACAAAAAAATAAACAAAACTTAGAAAAGAAGAAAATCTTGATCTTATCTCCTAAAGACAGTGACTGTTGACATTTCGGTTGGGTTGCTGTCTGGTGTGATTTCTCTGTGTTTCTTTCATGAGTGTAATCAAAATCGATACTTTTTTCTCTCCTATTCACTTAACCTACTTTTGAAACTTTGACACCTGTGCCTAATCATATTATTACCAAGCATATATTATTTTATTATATGGACATGCCATAATGAATTCCTCCTCCTTTGTTAAACATTTGTTTCCAATTCTATATTATAAATATGCAGAAAATGTCATTTTGCGTAGAACTTCTCTTTTTTCTTTTGTTGAGGTACCAGGGATTGAACCCAGGGGTGCCTACCACTGGGCTACATCCCCGGCTCTTTTTAACTTTTTAAATTTGAGACAGGGTCTCACTAAGTTGCTCAGCTGACCTCAAACTTGTAATCCTCCTGACTCAGCCTCCCAAGATGCTAGGATTACAGGCCTGCACCACAGTGCCTTGTTTATTGTTTTTTGTTTTTTAAGGATAGATTTCCACATGGGTGGGATTTCTGGATCAAAGTCTGTGAAGTGTTTTTTTTTGTTGTTGTTGTTGTTTTGTTTTTTTTAGTTGTATATGGACTCAATGCCTTTATTTGTTTTTATATGGTGCTAGGATGGAACCCAGTGCCTCACACTTGTGAGGCAAGTGCTCTATCACTGAGCTACAGCCCCAGCCCAAAATCTATGAAGTTTTGATACATGTTGCCAACTGGCTTTGCCAAAGAGGTTTTGAATTTTCACTGCTAGTTTATGAGAGTACTTTGACCACATCTCTCTCTCTCTAGACTGTAGTTAAAAACAAAAACAAAGAAGACCTTTGCCAGTGTGGGAGGTGGAACATGGTGTTCCATCTCTTTTTTAATTTATAATTCTTTGGTTAGAAGTGAGAGGGGGCGTAGCTCTGTCTCTTTATTTCTGGGTACTGGCGTTTGAACCCAGGGGCACTTTACCACTGAGTCACATCCTCAGTCCTTTTTATTTTTTATTTTGAGACAGGGTCTCACTAAGTTGCTGAGGATCTTGTTAAATTGCCCAGGCTGCCTTGAACTTGATCTTCCTTCCATCAGGCTCCCTAGTCACTGGGATCACTGGCATACAGCCCCGAGCCCAGATGTCTCCACCCTTTCTTCTGATTTGTAAATATTCTTTATATTTTGGCTAGTGGGGCTTTTTATTCTGTTTTGCTTTCAATACTAGGGATGGAACTCGGGGTCTGATGTACTCAGCACGCGCTCCACCACTCAGCTACACCCCCAGCCCCCATTGCGGTGCTATTTAACTTTTTGGACATTTTTTAAAAATTGGGCAGGGACAGTGGCACACTCCTGTAATCCTAGCCACTTAGGAGGCTGAGGTAGGAGGATCTCAAGTTCAAGATGAGTCTGGACAACTTAATGAGACCCTGTCTCAAAATAAAATCAAAAGCTGGGGATATAGCTCAGTGGTAGAGCATGAGTTAGTTAGCATGCACGAGCCCTTAGTTTCAATCCCTAATCTCTCTCTCTCTCTCTCTCTCTCTCTCTCTCTCTCACATACACACACACACACACACACACACACACACAAATATGCACATTTTCTTTAAGGCCATAGAGGTGAAACACCTCTGGAAGGGTCTAAACAGATTCATCCTAAACCCAGAGCCCACTGCCTTCTCATTGACTTGGGAATGTGGCCCATGAAGGTTTGATTTCAGGCCCATGTGATGCTGGAACTTCCCTGAGAGCCATCTCACCTGGAAGGCTAAGGTGGCCCCAGGGAGCTGGGACTCAGAAGCAATCAGAGGCAGTCCTTGAGAAGTGGATGTAGGTTTGTGGGTTAGCTGGACTCAGCTGCCCACTCAACTCTGAGACTCTGAGAATCTCTGATCCTACGAGGGTGACAGAAATTCTAGGGTTTGATACTTCCTAGATGGGTTGGCAAACTCTGGCCTGTTGACTGTGTAAACAAGGTTTTATTGCTGGGGATGTGGCTCAAGCGGTAGCGCGCATGCAGCGTGCGGCCTGGGTTCGATCCTCAGCACCACATACAAACAAAGATCTTGTGTCCGCCGAAAACTAAAAAAATAAATAAATAAATATTTTTTTAAAATACAAGGTTTTATTGGAACACAGACACAGTCAGTCATTTACAGCTACTTTCAGGCTATGATAATAAAGCTGGGTGATTAAAAAAAAGCTGGGTGATTACGACAAAGACCATATGGCCCCCCCTGAGATATTTACTGTCAGGTCCTTTATAGGAAAAGTTTGCACACCCCAGATCTGAAGGTGCATTCTGCCGCTAGGGTCTGCATGCCCCGGGGTGTGAGCGATGATTATACGTGGACCTCTAATGAACGGTTTTAGTTTTAACAGTTCTTTATTTTAATACTTACATTAAAAGAAGAATATTAATGAAGGAAATCAGACTCTTGAAGTCACAGATATTATTGCTTAGTACAAGGTGGAGTCCAAAAAGAAAGAAGTTCAAGAAAAGTTTTGTCTTAAATGGTTCAGGATGATGAGGTCGCACAAAGGGGAGAGGAGCAGAGGGGCTGGGGTTTGGGACTGCTGAGCCATGAGCAGTCCTTGGTGCTGGGAGTAAGGGTCCGGCCCCAGGGAGCCTGGGCCTCCTAACAGTGCCACCCTCCCTGGCCCAGGCTCTCAGGTGCACCATCACAGGCCTGACCTTCTGGGACCCCAGCTGCAAGGCTGAGGACAGCGCGGATCAGCTCGTCTTGCGCAGCACCTACTCCAGCTGTGGCATGGAGGTGACCACACACGTGATCAGCAATGAGGTAGGGCTGGGCCAGAAAGGTGTCCCTGCAACTGTCCCCCAGTGCTCCAGGCTGAGGGGTGTTTGGGGGAGCAAGGTCTGGCACTCGGTGGCACAGGTGCGGTTTGGCCACCTCCATAAGATGGGTGTGTTGGGTGGGAGACCCTCTGGGGTCCTTTCTGGTTCTAAACAGCTCCTTGCTCTGTCTCTGCAGGTGGTGGTCAATTTCCTATCTGGCCTATCACCACTTCGGGTAAGATGGATGGTCACTATGCTGCCACCTGGTCGAGGGTCTGGTGCTGGGGCTGGGGCCATGATCTTGTCAACCCAGGGGTTTCCAGTGTGCCTCAGTCTCCCCTTCTGTACACGGGAGATGCTGTGTGGGTTATGCCATCAGCCTCTCAGGTCGGAGGGTCCTAGCACGCCCTGGCTGTGTGACAGTGGGCAGATCATTCAACTTAAGGAGACCCTGTCTCAAAACATAAAAAGTGCTGGGGATGGGGCTCAGTGGTAGAGTGGCCCTGGGTTCAGCCCCCAGTATGAAAGAAGCTGGTTAAGGAGGCAACAAGAGGACTCTGCCAGACCACCCCTCCTTCCTGGTGGTGCCACCCACCTGACCAAGTCTCCCTCCTGTGCTCCCACAGAAAAAGGTGCAGTGCATCAACACTGATGGCCTCTCCTTCCGGCTGGGCCTCTACCTCAGCCCACACTTCCTCCAGGCCTCCAGCACCATCGAGCTGGGGCAGCAGGGCTTTGTGCAGGTATTAGGTGGGCCCAGTTACTCCCCAAGTCCTCGGGATTCCTAGGACTTCCGTGCCTTTCTTTCCAACATTGCTACAGAAAAGACCAGAATTAAACTTCCAGAGGAGGGAGCTGGCCTGAGGGCTCGGGAGGGACAGATAGGGATGGTATTGTTCTCAGTCACTGATTGGATGTCACCCTTCTGTTTGCTCCAGGCAGACCCTGTCTGTCCTACTGTGAGGATTCAGGGGTGGGAACTCTGCCTTCTGGCTATTTCCAAAGAACAGAGGTGGAGGGTCAAGAAGAGCTGCCCACACCCTTCCCCCCACCTCTCCATGCAGGTGGGCATGTCCCCATTGATCCCTGAGGTCGTGCTTCAGCTCGACAGCTGCCACCTAGACTTGGGGCCTGAGGCAGACACCGTGGAACTCATCCAGGGCCGGGCAGCCAAGGGCAGCTGTGTGAGCATGCTGTCCCCCAGCCCTGAGGGTGACCTACGCTTCAGCTTTCTCCTCCGTGTCTACATGGTGCCCACACCCACAGCTGGCACCCTCAGTTGCACTGTGGCCCTGCGTCCCAGGACCTGGTCCCAGGTGAGTGGAGCCTGGTCCAGGCCCGGCTTCAACAGTGGCTTCCAGCTCTGGCAGGGATGTGGCTGTCCAGGGGGATGTGGGACCAGCTGGTGAGGGGCAGAGCCAGAGTCATGCTTGTGGTCTGACAGCCGGGCTCTGGGGGCATTTGCTGCCACCTACAGCCTTCTGGTGGGATCGCTTTGTCTTGGGCAGAATCTGCAGCTCCAGCTTCCATCTATCCATTTTCCTTCTGTCCGCAGGTCCATTCATCAATAATCCCACTGTCCCACCCAGACACCTGTCCTTCCCCCAGCAATCTACCCACCCATGTGGTATGATCACCAAAGTGATCCCAATGGACGGGGCCCTAGGAAAGGAGGACACAAAATCCTCACTTTCTGCCTTTGCTGGTGCCGACGCTTCATGGTCCAGTGAATCTTTGCTCTCAGGCACTCAGTGCTGGACACGTTTTCAGGGTCACCCCAGCTCTTTACGTGGAAAGTTCCTCACTATCAAAAACTGCCCTGGTTGTATGAGGCTGGGGGGCCTTTGGGGCTGCACCTAAGTGGGCCTGTCCCTCTGGCCAGCAAGCCTGGGCCTCCGAGCTGCTCATTGCCTGGCTCATCGAGGTGTGTGCAAGGGTAATGGGCGCCCCACAGTGCCCACAGGCGTCAGGGGCTGCAGGGACTCATAGGAAAGTCCCTGGCAGGACTGTGGCTTGATGCCATCCCCCAGCAGATCCCCAGGCTCGCCCGCCAGCTCCCAGCTGGACAATAGTGGAGGCAGGACTCACAGTCAGGGCTTTAGGCTGGGCTGTGACAGCCAGGGGCGCAGAGCCAGGGAGAGAAGGACGCTGCCTCCCAGAGCTTGCGCCACACTTCTCTCTCCCCTCCCCCTCAGGAAGTCCACAAGACTGTCTCCATGCGCCTGAGCATCGTCAGCCCTGGCCCGCCTGGTGAGTGAGTTCCCCTGGGTCTCTAACCGAGGTTTGCTCGGTTAGCTGAGTGGGAATCAGGGGACAGCTGAAGGATCTCAGGTGAGAAGCCCCAGAAAGGGGCAGAGTCCCCAGAGTCCCAGTGGCCGGAATAGCACACTGTAGGCTGCATCTTGATGGAGCCTCTGCTGTGACCACCCTGTGGAACAACACTGCAGGCCTCTGGCTCCTGCCCAGGGCTCTTCTCCACCCCCTTGGTCACTGGCTAACCTTGCTGAGGGGCAGGGCCTGCTGGATGGAACATGAGGCACTGTGAGGGGTACTGGCCTTCTTGCTTCCTTGAGGCCCCCAGTGTGGGAGACGCCTCTTCAGTCCAGTGCCCTCCAGTTTCTTCACTAGCTCCCCCAGAGGTGGCAGGCACCTGTCATCCAGGAAGGGTGGCCCCCCAGCCCACAGCCAGGACCAAAAAAGCAGGGCCAATGCTCCCCTGCACAGATGGAAAATCAGAGGCTCGAGGGGAGGCTGCCTGGCCTGTGGTCACAGGAGACAGGAGGGTGGAAGGACTGAGGCTTGGGACAACTCCGGCAGAGCTGAAGTGCCCTGGGAGGTGCTCTGGCCTGTTCCTAGCTGGCATGTGGGCTCAGAGAGGGGCAGAGGCTGAAGAAAGGTCACTCTGTAGGGCTGGACAGGCTCCGGAGCCCGAGGCCCTTCTCATTCTTTGATGACTATACCATCCTTACTTCCCATTAATGCCTCTGCCAGGCTTCGGAGGCCGAGGCATGGCCCAGTAGGCCTGGCTGGCTGGGCCTTCTGGGTGGAGGGTCAGAGCTTAGTGCTGGGCACGGGTGTGGCCAGCCCATCTGCTAAATGAAGAGGTCAGGGTCAGTGGCTGAGCCAGAACTAGCACCCAAACCCCTGCTCCTGGCCCGCGCAATAGGGCGGGGTTGGGCTGACCACGTGGCTGACCACTGCTTTGGTCCTTCAGGCAAAGGCCTGGTCCTGTCCACCGTGCTGGGCATCACCTTTGGCGCCTTCCTCATTGGGGCCCTGCTCACCGCGGCGCTCTGGTACATCTACTCGCACACGCGTGAGTATCCCAGGCCCCCACAGGGAACACCCAGGGCCCCCACCACCACCTGGGGCAGCCCGGCAAAGCCTCAGAGGGAGTGGGGAGCCCTGGCCGGGGCCCTGACCTCCGCCCCTGCCCCGCCCCCAGGTCCCCCCAGCAAGCGGGAGCCCGTGGTGGCGGTGGCTGCCCCGGCCTCCTCTGAGAGCAGCAGCACCAACCACAGCATCGGGAGCACCCAGAGCACCCCCTGCTCCACCAGCAGCATGGCGTAGCCCCCAGCCCGGAACCCTGGGCGCCCCCTGCCGGAGAGACTGAGCAGCCACCAGCTGGGAACCACTGGCCACCAACTCTCCCCAGGACCCCAGTGCCTCCACTCAACTGAGGACGGAGCATGCTCTCTGCACCGGCCCTGCCCGCCCCCCTCTCAGGGGCCTGCTGCCAGCGGGGGCACCGACTTGGAACACCATGGGGTCCCCCCACCCCATTCCACAGAACCTCCAAACCCAGGGGCTCTGCGACACAGCTGCCCAGGACCACAGAGGACGAGATCACTGCCTCATTCGTCCACACTGCTGACAGAAACTCCAGTCCCAGCCATTTAACCTGGTTGCTGCGCCGGCGAACTGTGCTGGGGCCCAGCCGCCCAGGCCAACAGCACCTCCACCAGGGGAAGGAAAAGGGGTCCACCCCAAGGCCACCTTGACCTGGTGCCCGTGGCCTCCACACCTGAACTGGTACAACTTTGGTGGGGGAAACAGAAGCCAAGAGGCGCCCGGTCTGAGAGTCCAGAGGGCAGCAAGAATAGTGGGGTGAGGGAGCCCAGCTCCCCCCACCACTGCCACATGGTGACCCCCTCCCGGCCACTGGACAGGCAGCAGGTGGAGAGTGGCCAGGCTGCTTGTCCTGGGCTCACCCCTGTATATTTACCATCAATAAATCAGACATGAAACCCGTGCTGGGCTGGGCTGGGCAAAGGGGAGGGGCCTCTGGAACAACGAGGAGGGGGCAGCGTAGAGCAGTGCTGCCCACTAGGATTAGGATGGCCTGGCATGGTGGCAAATGTGGCATCTTGAGCAGTAGCAGGTGGCCAGGGCACAGCAGGTTTGATTGAAAGTCCCCTCTGCCACTCACTTGGTGGCACAGCCTTGGGATCGAGGCTTCGAGAAACCAAACACCAGGAGGTGCCATGCCACTTGCTCTGGGTTCAGGACACAAGCCCCCGACAACTCTGGGCTCTAACCCTGGATCTGCTGCTTACTGGCTGTGTGACTGTGGGCAGCTCCCATAGCTTCTTGGAGCCAGCCAGTCCCTCACCAACAAACCGAGTACGCCTCCTAGTTCACATGGTCTTCGCAAGGGCTACAAAGCAGTACCTGGCATGTGGCCCGTGAATGTCAGTCCAGGCTTCTCACAGACAGGCCACCTGAGGCTCAGAGGCAGAGAACTTAGGCCACTGACCCTGGGCTCCCTCTACACAATCTGGTTCCTACAGCAGCTACAGCCCCAGCCCCCTGGCATCTGATGAAGGAACAAGGTTTTTCCATTAAAAAAAATTGACAGGCTTTAATTCACTCCAGCCATGCTCTTTCCCAGGGTGCCCAAGGCAGGGGTTCTCTCCTTCTCAAGAGGCCCTGGGAGAAGGAAAGATAGTGCCTAGCCCCAAGCAGAACCCTAAGCATGGCCAGGCAACTCACTCCATGAGCTGAGTCTGAGCCAGGAGGCAGGATGGGTGGCAGGGAAATGGGCTGAGCTGCAGGCCTCCTACAACCGTTGGGGCCCTGGAAGCCCTGCTGTCCTGGCTGCAAGCAAGGTACAGGACCCCAGGGACAGGACATTCCCACTCCAACACCCACCGCCTGGGTTAGTCTCCGAATCAGGAAAGCAGAAATCAAAAGGCACCTGGTGTAAGTTCGTGGTGCTAAGCCGGGGCAGGTGTGGGAGGCTCCCACCCGCAACCCCACCACCTTGGCTACTGGGACAAGGAGGGCTCCAGCAGCTTCAGGACACCGCCCACAAGGTGCAGGCTGCCGGTGACCAGCACGTGGATCGCAGTAGCCTCGCGGAGCACACTGGCCCCGTTGCTTGCCGTGGGGTGGGCAAGGAGGCCCCTCGGGAGGCTGGGTGGCTGGAAGTCGGGGTCCCGGCCTTGGCTGATCCACTGCAAGGCGTGGGAGATGCAGCTGAAGACCAGGGAGCTGGAGCTGCAGGGCTGCAGGCCGCGTGGGGCCAGCCGCAGGGGTGCCGGGCCGCCAGGCTCCAGGCTGGAGGGCCGCCAGAGGTCGCGGCCGGCCTGCTCCTCATCCAGGCAGCTCCAGTGCTGCTGGTGTTCGAGGCAGCGGAGCAGCACCTGGTCCAACGTCACTGTGAAGTTCTGCTGGTCTGTGGGGTACAGAGCCAGGCATGTCAGTGAAGGGGACAGGGACGGGGAACGGGGAATGAGACAGAAGAAAGGGGCAGGTATGCGGTGTGCACCTCAGTTTAGCATCAGGCTCAGTACACGTCACATCAACAGACTCTGCTGGTGGCCCCCACAGCAGACACGTGAGGAGGCGAGGCTCGGGCCATTTCAACAACTTGCCTGAGGCCTGGGAGCCAGCCAGAGGCTCCCGCCCACTAAGCTCAGTCTCTCCCTGGGCCTCACCACCCTCCTGGGCAATGGATGTCTGGGAGGCCTGGTTAAAAAATACAGATTCCAGAACTCTCCCCAGCTTGACGCAGGGCCTGGGATCTGCACTTTTTACAACAGTATTTCAAACTATTTAAAAACATAATGCCCCTAACCCCCTGCCCACCATCAGGGACCACATCTTTCCCCTCTCACCTGCATTGTCTGTGGATGCCACCTCTGTCAGGTTGGGGCAGAAGACAGCATAGTCAAACTGGCAGGGCTTGAAGACCAAGGGAAAGACATGGTGTCACACTCCTGAGGGGACATCACCCACCCTGACCTCACATGCCACCCAAGCTCTCTCAAGGCACTGCCCCTCCCTGAACTAGAGTGACACTGCAGAAGCCCAGCCATGGCACCAGCCCTCTCCCCTCTGCTTCCAGGTACCTGTCTGGCCTCTGCGTTGGTGACAAGAGTACCACCTACTGCGTAGATGGGGGAGAGAGGATTGGGCAGAAACTTGCTTAAGGTCGCCCAGCTAGGGAGCAGGCCCCAAATCCAGAGGAAAGAGCTTGCACAAATAGGCAAGGTTCCTGGGTCTGTGAAATGGGAGATGATCCCTAACAGCCACTTCAGCCCTGATATGCTGGGGTCCCCAAACACAGGCGGTATCTTAGTGGCAACCCCATTTCATGGAGAGGCAAGTTGAGGCTCAGGAAAATGCCACTTCTTGTCCAGGGTCATATGCCAGTGACTAATGGGGCATGGCATGTGAGTGCAGAGCCTGCACCTTTAACCACCACATGGCCCTCCCTGAACCCTGGCCGAGTCCGACTCCCCGGAGCGCCTCGCGTTTGCACTTGACCCTCAGTACAATTCAGGGGAAAGGGAACGGAGCTGAGGAGGTCCAGGTTCCCACAGCGAGAACCAGGGCTGCTGGGCTGCCGGCCACCCCCCACCTGGCCCCTCACCTGCAGCAGCTTCAGTAGGGCTGCAGGGTCCCTGTCGCCAGTGGAGTTGAAGAGCAAGACCCGCACCTCAGGCCCACTGCACCAGGGGAAAGGAACCAGACTAGGGTCAGAACAGCACCTCCAGTCCCTTCTTTGTGGCCCTGCCCAAGGCCCCGCCCCTGCCGTCCTCACCGGCTGGGCCTCTCACTGCGCTGCAGGGCCTGGCGAAACCAACGCACGCAGGCCTGCACACTGCTGGTGGTGTGTGCCCCGTCCAGGTACCAGGTGAGGGGCCCTCGCCGCAGCACTTGCGTCCGGCCTGGCCACTCAGTGTCCCGAAGCCCTGGTAGAGGCAGGCAGTGCTCGGGATCCTCTCCTACCCTAGTCCTAAGCTCTGCGCGAACTCCAAGCATACTGTCCCCACAAGCTGCCACTGCTAAGGGGCATCAACCCAAGAGCTTCTTACGGGTGCTAGTTGTTGGGTTTGAGGCTTAGCCTGCCTCACCTGGTGGAACCTTCCAGGCCACCCTGAGAAGGGGCTGCCATCATACACTAGCTCCACCTGACAGCTGGAGAGCCCTGGGCTAGGCTGTGGTCCGAGATCTGTTCCAGCACCGTCACTAACCCCTGACAGCCAGCTGGGCACAGTGGGTATACTGAAACCATCTGTTGTAGGGGTGTGACAGCATGAGCGCATAGGCGCTGAGGGCTTCTGGGAGGACAAGAAGCAGAGGGCCTGATGATGACAATGACAGGGACAGTAGCTACCACTGGCTGGGCACTTTCCCCACATCTTCCAGGCCCTGGGCTCAACACCTTACTGATGTCACCTCAGCAAATCCTCACAACAGGCCTAGCCGTGGGTCCTGTCATCGTCATTTGGCAGATGGGAAACTGGGGCTCAGACAGATTCGTGAACTCAAGGTCAGGGAGATACAGACCCTTAGGCACCCTCTCAAAGTGACCTCCCAAACAGGAAGCCAAAAGAGACATCTGAAGGGGCACAAAGACGCGTGGTGGTCCTGGCTGGGCAGGAAGGTCCGACTCACCGTGCCGCATGTGGGATGTGGGCTGGAACACGGGTGCCAGGGGCAGCGGCCATGGCACACTTGGCCTGGACACCTTCAGCTTCCTGACGTCTGTGGAATGTGTGAGGCCCACCATGCTCAGGACCCTCAGAGGCAGGCTCCCATGACTGCCCCCCACCTGCCCACTCGCCAGGCCACTCACCCTGGTGGTCCCGCCACTGCAGCCAGCAGTGCGCCAGCTGCAAAGCCAAGGCCGCGTTGGACCGCTGGTGCTCTCCCTCCAGGCCCAGGGTCAGTGGCCGCCCCCTTTCCTCCAGGGCTTCCAGTGGAGGGCACAGGTAGAGAGGACACTGCACGGAGATGGGCGGCAGGTGGTCAGCAGAGTTGCCACCACCACCTTGAGCAGAAAGCCCTCCCATGCCCATCTATCAGAGCCCATGGGGCCCTGCTCCAGAACCCAGAGATGTTCCAGGGGACAGCAGCTGCAGGGCTGGGCAGCTCCCGCACTGCAGGGATGAGCACGCTGAGGTCCCCAGGAGAAAGCGCCTCTCCAGCCAGCCCAGACCCTCCCTGCCCACCGCCGCCCCATCCAGTCCCACTCACTGAGATCTGCTGGGCTCGATCCCTCAGCACAGCCAGGGGACCCTCTGGCTGGAGCACGGTGAAGGCAGGGACGCCATGCTGCATGGGCCAGGAAGAGTGAGATGGGCGGCCGGGGTCCTCCACCCTTCCCTCTCTGGCCCCCACAGATCTGGGTCTGAACCGCCACTCAGCCTCTCGTCCCTTGTGTTTCAATGGGGAGACTGAGGCCAGAGAAGGGCACAACCTGCTCCACACTGTGAAGGCAGGACAAGAACCCAGACCCTGCTCATGGCCAGGACCTTGTCCTGAGTCAGGACACAAAGGCCTGTCCCAGCCCCACTCCTCTGAACCTGGGGCCAGGGCCAGGCCCCCGTGTACTTCCCTGCCCCCAGCCTGCCTGATCACCTTAAATATGCCCCCTTTCTGCCATGCAATCTTCTCCACTGTGTCCCCCAGAAGGCTGGTGTGGTCGATGCCGAGAGAGGACACTCCACACACCACAGGTTTCCTGCAGAAGATAAAAAGGTCAGGACGCTCCACCCTGAGCCACTGGGCAGCAGAAGGCCTGGTTCCTAGGCCCACTCCAGTCCATAGGCGCTGCCTTCACCTGATGATGTTGGTGCAGTCGTAAGCCCCGCCGATGCCCACCTCCACCACTGCCAGGTCCACCTGCAGAAAACCAGATGGCAATGGCAGGAGTAGCAGGTACACCGATGTCATCTAGAACCAGGAGTCCCAGCCTACTGAGGTCCTGTCCCCAATGCC